TAATTACCTTAAATGTGTATGGATTAAATGCCCCAACCACAGGACACAGACTGACGGGGTGGATGAAAACATACGCATGTGTGCACTTCCACTTACCACACCACTCTGCTCAACTCCCCAAACTGTATGTAATTATTTTACATTGTTAATCATGTTTCCATTGTGGCTTGTGATTATCTTTTTTTTTTTTTGGTCTGGCTGTTGATTGTGAAAACTGATAAACACACTATTGTGATTATGTAATTATTATTCATTTAATACCATTGTATCATGGTTGCAACAGAAAATAATAAAATTCTATCATCAAAGAACCATTTAATAGAAAAACCTATAATCACTTTTTAAAATCCAGACGCGTATCAGAATTATGTTGGAATTTTTTGTAAACTACAAATGCCCAGGTATTGATTTTTTTCTCCAAAGCTTCAGATGTGTTTCTAATGAGCAGCCATGTTTAAAAACTGGACTATATGATGATCTTTTACCTAGTTTGTTTCACTTTTTCTCTTTCATATTCAGTGTTCCCATTTCATTTAGTTTTCCAATTTCTCCATCTCTTCTTTCTCAAGCCTTTATCAAGCATAATAGAAAAACATTTGTACACATTTATATAAATAGTATGTGTAATATATATATTTTAGAAAACATCTGAATTGTTGCCTAGCTAAAAAATTTATGACATTTTGATTCTACTTGTTTGACTTAGGATGAATAGAATGCCAGATTTATAATTTAAAAAAAATAGTACACAACAAGCAACAAAGAATTACTGTATAGCACAGGGAACTACAGTCAATATTTTGTAATAACCTATCACGGAAAATAATCTGAAAAATAATACGTGTACATACATGTACAACTGAATACCTTGCTGTCCACCTGAAACACTGTAAGTCAACTATACTTCAATAAAAGTATATCCGTTAAGGAAAAAAAGAAAAGAAAAACAATAAAATAAGTGGATTACTAATGAAGAAAACCCAAATGGATAAACAAGCTATTCCCTGAAAGTGGGTTAGGTGCTTGGTGAAGGGCATTACACTTTTTGAGACAAGGCCCCATTAGATCTGGAATGCTCTTTCCAAGGGTACCTATGCTTCTGAAATTATTTCACTTAATTGCAAGGATAAACTCACCTATAGAATATAACCTAGTTTCCAAATGTGAGGTATCACATAGACAACCAAAAAGGGTACTTAAGTGTCTGTGGGAACTCAGAAGGGAGTTCTGAAGGGAGTTATTCTGCCCATAATGCAATTGGCTTAATGAAAATAAAAGAAGACTTTGTTTCTTGAAGTTTTTAAGAAAAAGAAGATATTACTTTCCATGAACAGCAATGTTATCTTATTACAATCTATTCAAATTCCGCAAAGGTCAGTTTTTTTAAAAAGTTAGCATTTCAGAATTTCATATATTCCCGTCCTCTGCTTAAATGAGTTAATATCAAATAGATGTCTCTTTTTCTTATGTCAAAGAAAGGAAAATGGGGTTATGAGTATGTGTGGAAATTATCGTCTACTTCCTACTTTCCTACTCTGAGGTCCAAGCATAGGTTTTGGGAGGTCATGAGCACCCCCAAACAGTACGCACAACTTATGTGTGTGAACCTTTTCCTGGGGAGAGACCCCTTAGCTTTCATCAAGTGTCAGAGGATCTAGACAATGACTGTAGGTTGTTGGGCCAGGAGGGTCGTCACCAACAAGGACAAGCTAGTGAGCCAAACGCTGCCCCTCCTCATGGCGAGTCCCCAGCGAAGACCTGGAGAGACTCAAAACATGTAATCGTTACAGCTGCAGAGATAAAGCGAACAATGACCATCACCCAACACCTGGAGTACTCCACAATCAGTCATTTTCTTATCCCGATAATCTTTGACGTTCCTACCTATTTTAAAAAGTAGTATGTTATGTGTTTATTGGGCCCTCACCATCACAAATCTTGTAATTTGACAACAACTCCACCAGGATTGAGGTGAGCCACTCAGTAAGGGAGTTCATTCACCTGTTTGTAAAACAAGAATGATCACGGACACTGCCAGCCCTCCACAATGACTTGATTGCTGAGTAAGAGACACTTACAAAAGAGCTTCCCTGGCTCAAAGAATCCACCTGCAACGCAGGAGATGTGGGTTCGACCCCTGGGTCTGGAAGATCTGCTGGAGAAGGAAATGGCAACCCACTCCAGTATCCTTGCTTGGGAAATCCCATGGACAGAGGACACTGTCGGGCCACAGTCCATGGGGTCACAAAGAGTCGGACATGACTGAGCGACCAACACTAGCACAAAAGGGCTTGGAGAGTTTCCCAAGGAAAGTACACCCTTGACACTCTTGTCATTGTTTCTCCTCCAGATATACTGCTAAAGCTATATATATTTAGCACTTTCTCTCAGTTTCAAACTGGGAGAATTTGTAAGCAATTTTAATGCTATCAGAGCCCTTGGGTTTATAGAATTTATGACTGTTTTACTGTTATTATTAAAGTTTTGATTTGTATCATTGCTAACGGCCCTAGAAGAGTGTTCCAAGTTCCTTTATCATTAATATTTGCTATCATAAATATAACTGTTATGTAAAAATAGCCTTGGTCAAGGTCATTAATAGGGGGGATGCATTCCCAGCAAGAAGGTATGGATTACAGACCTGCTGTTCACTGTTTCCTTTCCAATAATAAACTCTAGAAAGTGGACAGAGACTTTCTTTTAGACATAGTACGGCAACTCGAAGGTAATCATTACATAAAGTTAATAAATAAAGCTCTAGAATGTTGATGATGCATGGCAGTAATGATCCCACTATCATTTTGAAATGCTAATGGAACTTGACAAATGAGTTGCCAGTTAAAACCAATTGGAAATATATACACAGTCTAATAATTCGAAAATAGTTTTAAAGAAGCTAGCTTCAAATACATCTTGCATGATGTTACTATTTTGTGTATGTATTATGTACCCTGTATTATTCTGCTCTGTGTGTGATTTTAAAACTTAGCTTTATTTTTTAATTATAAATTATATTTCTTATTACAAAAGCAATACATATTACTCAAAAATTTTAGCATGATTTTATTTATCCAGGAGATAAGCTTTTCTCCAGAGAAATGCATCTCTTGGGTTTATACTTATAATAAAAATCAATGAAAAAAAAGTATTCAAAAGAAACCCACTGTGCCTTAACATATTTATTATCCTTTACCAGAAGACAGACACTACGTTCTGAAATTTTAATTTAAGGTAATACTATGGACATTAAACTTAAATACTCAAAACTACCTAAATTTCTACCAAAAAAAAAAAAAAAACTGAACACAATAATGGTACATACAAACAGACATTAATATAGGGATTTAAAATACCTTATGTGGATGAATAAATAACTAAATAACATTATCAGATCATCAAAAGACAGTATATTTAGATGCAGAAAGAAATCTGCATCACAGAACAAAATCATTACAGTACAACATGCTATGAGCAGACAGATAAAAATTACCTGCTACAGAGCAGACTCTGGAGACCTTTCTGAAGGCAGCCTTGTGCATTAAAATAAGGTCCTAGTTGCTGGTTGCTGAACTGCCAGCAGCCCAGCGCATCACACCTTAGATAACAGAGCCCTGTATCATCCACAGTATTAAAGAACCATTTGGGAAAAGCTGTATTGCATTACTTTTCTTGCTACTCACCCTCTTGCACAGCAAGTGGGCCATCTGAATGAAAAGGGGGGAAAAGTTTTAAAAGCTAGAAACCTACTATTCTTACCAAAAAAAAAAAAAAAAATTTTGCTTGTATGATATAGTATCCTTTGGGAACTTCCATATCCTCTTTCAGGAAAAGCGGCAGATTAAAATCTCATCTACAGAGACTTATTTGTACATCTGACAATCACTGATCTAGGGAATAATTACTTGGTTGATCTTCAAGGGAAACCACACGATTAATGCACTGAGGTGGGGAAGTGGGCAACCAAGGTTCTACATGAGAGACCAGCAGACTACAATGGTGACAACTAGCCAAGAGGAAGGGACTAGAAGGCCAGATGCTCTTGAAGTCACAGCCACAGCTTTCTTAGCTACTGTATCACGGCAGCAGACCTCACTAAAGGGCAGGTCTCCCTGCACCTGTCTCGACACCGAAGCAACTCCCTGGGAGAGGTGATGCCCAAGGAAACTTCATTTACTTCAGGTGATCCAAATGGCACCCTACTTTTTTCTCCATCCCGCATTCCCAACCACCAAAGAGATGACATCAGCCCTCTTAAACTTTGAGAGGCACACAGTTATCAGTTATCGGTAGAGAGCACAGCTGCTCCAGAACAGAACTCAGAAGAAGGGCACCCACTTCAGGGAGTCTTGCAGTCAGATCCTGCCCTCAAGGGGCCTGGAACGAGAACAATTTCTCTAGATGAAAAGGTGGCTCCTGATGCTGCTCTTCCATCGCCACAGAAGAGACCTTTCGGGGACTAGATTTCTCAGATACCCTCCATCCGCCTGGTGAATTTGGCTCTTGCTTCCGATGTGACGGAATAAGCAACCTATTACACTCTAGCCTGTGCACCTGGAATGGATGCAGAGCCCAGCTCTTACAGCACAGAAAAGGTGTGCGGGTCAGCCCTCTCTCGTGGAAACAACTAAATCTGAAGCACTGCATCTGTACATTAGGCAAAGAATATCCAGCCAGGGGGACAGTCACTGGTCAGATGTTAAATTGCTGAAACAGAACAGAATTGGCCAACATGGGCCAAACCCAGCAGAGACATGATCAAAACACATCAGCTCAGGCTGTGAAATGTTTGCAGGCATAGGGAAGCCGAGCCTTTCAGGGTGACTGACGTTTCCATTAGGCATGAGGGAAGAAATGCGGGGCACCTTTTCCAGGCTCACTCGCGCGGCCCCGAATGTCCACGCCCCACGGAGCTTCCTGCTCCAGCCCCAGTGGAGCCGACACGCCCAGGTCTTCAGCAGACCCCAGTCTCCGGGAGCCGTCTGGCCTCAGCCTCCACACCATCAGGAGGGCGTCGCAGGGGGCGCCGGAGATGGGAGCCTGTGCGCGGCCCGCGAGGTCTCTGCCTAGGAGCCGGAGAGGAAGAGAGACACAGGCGTTACACCACCGCCCAGGCACGAATGCAGGAAGTCGAGCAGAACCCCTCCCTTGCCCTGCCGGTGCCCCCAGTGCCCACACCACCTCCCCCGACGCCCACACACACGCTGGGCACGCTGACGGGGCTGCACACTTCTCTCTCCTCTTGGGAATCAGGCGGACTCGCAAGGACTCGCCCCGGGCTTCTCTCCCTGAGGAAGCTGACCCTTGGGACCACGTTGGACCAGGCACTCCTTCCAGACCCAAGGCAGGAGGTGAGAGCGGTCAGGGCCCCGTGGTTAAAGTACGCAGAGCTACAGCGGCCAAAAGCCCAGGCCAAAAACAGTGATACTGCGGCGGGCAGGGGCTCCTTGGCTTCCGGGGAGGGTCCATCCTGGAACCGGTCATCAGAGCAGAAACCAAGTTTCACCCAGAAACTGAGGTCCAGTACTCAACCCTGTGAGAAATTCCTCCCCTAGAACAGTGTCCTAAGTGTTAAATGTGCATCTGAATTGCCTGGTCATCCAGGAAGATTCTGATTCAACAGGCCTGGGGCGAGATCCAAGAGCCTACATGGCTAATGAGCCCCTATTTCCTTGTTAACATAACAAGGAATCAAGCATGAGAATAGTGGCACACTGCCATCTGTTTTTCCTATCCCAGAAGCGGTTAAATGTCATTTAATTCCACTGGCTGTAATCTCTTTTAAAGAAATCTTAATCTCTTTTAAACAGGAAGCTCACATTTTAGAAGGAACCGTCCACTAAATTCTAAGTGATCTCCAAAGTTTGGTTTTTTTTTTTCCCCAACAATGAGTCCCATGTTGCTAGTGTGAGTCACAGCACAGAGTCCTTTTATGATTTGAAAAAACTCAAAGGTAATTTTTCCTTAATTCAGGTAGAGGCACCAAAAAGTAGACACAACGCCCAGGTGCCTTCTATAACGTCCTTCTTATATTCCCCAGCAGGGGGTGCAAGAGAGCCACGCCGCCACCAAGCATGCCAGTCACTGTGGCCTGGCTCTGGCTTGTCTGAGGCTCAGTCATCAAGGAGTCCGAGGCAAAGTTTTGGGGGTCCGGGAGTGGGTGGAGAACACAACCCAAAATACAAAACAAAAAACCCAGAAGGCTTCTGAGAGATTCAAGTTACTCAACAATTTTATTTACCCATTCTACACACACACACACACAAAAAACACATTTCAAATACATCTATATACCTGAGGATCTGAGTGCCATATTTTAACATCAATGTCACCAGATTAAATTAGAATGCTGCCAAGGGCTTACATTCCTTCTTTCAACAGAGCTCTGCCTGGGAAACCCGGAGGGCAGCTCTGCTGGGCGAGGTTCCCAATTCAGTCCGTTCCGGCAGATAACCCAGTGAGCATCGTGACCCAGGCGTGCTCAGCCCATTTCCAGCCCCTCCAGAGGGCGCAGCTGGCGACCACGCCTTTGCTTTTGCCACAGGAAAACTACCACCATATCAGAATGAATTGATCTTGTTACTTCTTGTTACACAAGAAAAATACATATATACACAATTCATGTACAAAGATCAATGAGTCATGGATCGCCAGTGAAAGGCTTACTGAAAAAAATACTTTTGCCAAAATTTCCTTTAAATTTTTATTAGTTAGATTATGATTTAGAGCCAAGTGGATGGCAGACTAAAAACAGCAGCATTATCCAATGGAATGCTACAGCCCATCACAAGGAGGCCGAGGACACAGGAAGTTCAGAAAGTGAGATCCTGCCTAGAAATGGGGGGATGGATAGGATGACTTCAGCAAAGGCAGTGATATCAGGCTTTGAGCTCACACCTCCTTAGCTCAGTTTAAGAAATACCTTACAAGCGATGTTCAACTTTCACTTTCTATAAAATGATTAGAGTTTGGCTGCTACTCTAAAAGAAAATGTCTACTGAAAATCATAGTGTACAGAACTTCCCCCTGAAGAAACTTCCTTCCTTTGTAGGACATGTGCAATAGAGAATTACAGTAACATGCATACAGTGTCAACCAGTACAATTAGAAAACAGTCAGACTGTCATATTACAGATCTTAGCAGAGCCAGTCAGTCAGCTAGGGACCCTACCACAGTCTGTCAGGCAGTCAGCATATAAATACTTCTAGATACAGTGTTCTGAACATGATGAGTCTAAATTAAACCCCTGGACATACTTCTGATATTTGTGTCACCTCGATCGCAAGTCAGAGCTCAACCCTGCCAATGCTGCAATCTGAATCAACTGTAAATCAAATTAAAACTAAAATACTTAATTCCAAGAAAATTAAAATACTTAATTCAAACTGAAACATTTTAAAATGTATACTGAAAACCTGTGTAAAGTTATGAAATTTCTGGAAAACAAACACAACATGGCTTCTGGGCATAGCAAAGATGATGGAACGTGCACAAGACTACACAACCCAGACAGAGCTCCCTCAGTGATTAGACATGGGCTCCCCTGTCCCTGGGCCATGCCGAGCACCAGTGAGTTTCTCTGGTGCAGAGCTCCTACTCGCAGAGACATCGTAAGGTGGATTTATTTCCAAACAGCTACATCCTGTTTCTTCAAACTGCCAGTGTGCCTTTGAAGATGAAATGTGGGTTGTAAGGAGGAACACCCAGAACCTCACAGGAAACACTCAACCATTTAGGTAGGGTACAAATATTTTGTTCTCCTAACCCTAACTTCTTGGTTCACGTAAAGTGAAAGTGAAGTTGCTCCGTCATATCCAACTCTTTGCGACCGCATGAACTGTAGCCTACCACACTCCTCCGTTCTTGGGATTTCCCAGGCAAGAGTACCGGAGTGGGTTGCCACTTCCTTCTCCAGGGGGTCTTCCCGACCGGGGAGGGAGGACAAAAAAACACACACAAAAAAAAAACCAGAGACATGGATATGGAGCAGACACCTAGCACAATGTATCTTTTAAAAGATTTTCTTACTGCACTTTCTAATTGAATGCAAAACAATCTCCTTATCAAAACCAAAGCAAAGACAATACAAATAATAAATAAGAGCTAAATTCCATTTAAGGATTAAGATACAGGGAAAAAAAAAAGCTCTCTAATCTGTTTTAGTTTCCTCTTCAAATCTGTCACAGAATCCCTCATTCAGTTTTAAAGCAGAAAAGAGATAATTGAATAGACAGTGATTTTTCCTTTCCCCATTTTCTAACAATAGATTAAATGTTAAAGACTTCACCTATTTCTCCCATAACATAGCTGAAGTGAAAGTCACTCAGTCATGTCCAACTCTTTGTGACCTCATGGACTATAGAGTCCACGGAATTCTCCAGGCCAGAATACTGGAGTGGGGAGCCTTTCCCTTCTCCAGGGGATCTTCCCAACCCAGGAACTGAACCCCAGGTCTCCCGCATTGCAGACGGCTTCTTTACCAGTGGAGCCACAAGGGAAGCCCAGCATAACTGAAAGCCTCAACAAAAGGTGCTCTGGAGTTTGTCCTTTCTTATTAGGGTTTGTGATGGAGACACAATCATAGTAACGTGTATATATTACCGATACACGCGCACATGGGCTTCCCTGCTGGCTCAGGCAGTAAAGAATCTGCCTGCAATGTGGGCAATCTGGGTTTGACCCCTGGGATGGAAAGATCTCCTGGAGGAAGGCATGGCAGTATTCTTGCCTGGAGCATCCCCATGGACAGAGCAGCCTGGTAGGCTACAGTCCATGGGGTCGCAAAGAGTTGGACACAACTGAGCCACTAAGCCCAGCATAGCACAAACTCAGGTGAGAAGAGGAGAGGATAGGAGAGAACAGATAGGGAACGGAGTTCCTCTTAATATGTGGAGTAAAAGCTCTATTCCATTCTAGGCCCTCCTGACTTCCTGCTGAAGCTTCTCTGGAGGGATCTTGCTCTAAAAACCAAAGGATGCTGAAATCCCTGCCACCGTCAAGTTCTAATTTCTGGTGTCCATTATGAGATTGAGCCCGTCTCTGGCTTCTCTTCTCGGGGAAGCAAACTGGCACATGGCGGGGGTGGCAAAATATCAGCAGGCCGAGGGCCCCAGTTAACGCCCCAGTGCCCTGCGTCTAATGCAGGGGTTTGTAACAGGGTAACACGATGCTGGTTAGTTAGAGAGTTCTCTTCTCACTAAGAGTACAAACAGCCCAAAGCCAGCTGGGGATCAAAATGCTCTTTCTCACGCATTAGCTCTGAATCACTCACCTCACAGCAACAGACAAGCCGAATGCCCATTTGGGGTAAAGATGCCACCAGCCAAGCAAAGCTAGACAAAGCAGCCTTGCAAAAGTGCCACACACATCTCCCAGACCACATCATCCTGGGGGACAGTCCCACCTCCCAACCCTCTGTCTCACAAGCGGAGGACAAGAGAAAAGGCAGAAGGAACTCTCTGCTCCACTTCGACACCCACGTTCATAGACGCAGCGTGTTGCTCTTTCACCACTGTTTGTTTATTATAAATCACATGCCCCTTCTCTAAAACAACCCTCTTCAGGGCAAGGACCTTTTCTCCTGTTTGTGCCTCCTTCCTCCACCACCAGCCACCCAGCCCAAAGCTCCACAAACACGGACACCAACCACACATTATATAATGCCTCAACAGGAAGAGCAGGTTACCTTACGTCCGGAAGGCAATCTCAAGCAGAATCTAGGCAAGTGACCTTTGAAAACTGGCTGTGATGTCCGACCTACTTAGGATGTAGGAATAAAGGACTCAAGGTCACAAGCCAGCTGCCTGTGATGATAAGCCTTATCACCCCTCATGTTTCATCTCAGTCCTTCTCTCCAGTGTGCTTAAAGCTCTCAGTTGCTATCACAGGTCATCTATATGATGCAGAGATCTGTTCCACATTGCCCTGCGATGTAAAAAGGTGAAAGCTGAACAGGCTGCTGCCTGAAGTAACAATGAAGGGGTGACTTCATTTATTACTGTGATCAGCTCACACAGCTAACTCCAGGGAACTGTTCTTTCAGAACTATGAGAAATTCAGAATTCCTCGGCTGACGCTTTGTCCAAAGAACTATGCCCCAGTGTTTCTCCAACCAACATCATAAAATGGAGTTCTGACTTGGAGGGTGATTCAGAATCATCAGGGAAGCTATTTAAAGACCCTAGACCTTGAGACAGAGTCAGAATTAAGCCTAGAGTGGATCCAGGCAGGAGTGCATCTCACAGGTTCTGTAAGGGACTCTCACGAATACTCCAAGATGAAAAGCACAACAAAAGGTCTCTTGCTGTCCACTCACTCAGGCATGCCCAACTGCGACCCTGGGGACCTCAGCACAACAGGCTTCCCTGTCCTTCACCGTGTCCTGGAGTTTGTGCAAATTCATGTCCATTGAGTTGGTGATGCTATCAAAGGTCTCCTATTACCAAATAAAAACATCCCTGGCAAATGGCTATTTGGTTAGTTAGCTACTAACTAACCACTAGCTAACTACTGGTTACCTCTAAGAGACAGATTGATAACTCTGAGGTGGGGAGCCCTCTCTCTCTTAAAAATCTCATGAGAAACCTAGACTTGCCTCTCAGAAAAATGCAAATACATGTATTCACATATTTTGTGTTCAAAATTGGGGGGGGGGGGTATGCCATCGAGGGCCACCAAGGAGCTAGGAATCGCTACTCTAAGCATCTCCAGGTTAACTCTGCAGAGAAGATAAAATGATACAAGTAAATAGTTAAGAGCTAGATCCCACTGGATTCCAAGACTCCTCTGGACATCAAGATGAAATAGAACAGTACCTTTAGTGAGGGAGATTACATTTAACACTAGGTTTTCACAACATTTGGGGGAAAATTTGTTCATATAAAAAAATTTTTAACTTAAAAACCAATATTCAATATTGAATATTGGTTTTTAAGTTAAATAAAGGAATAGTGTTGAACGTTACTAGGAAACAGCATGAACCCTTCTCTATCCCTTCAGCAATTCAAACCTCAGCAATGACTCCTGAATCTAACTCTGTTCCTCTGAACAGTCCCAGACAGAGGTCACTGGCTTTGGCAGGGAAGTTCCTGTGGTTGGCAAAGAAGCTGGGAGCCACTGGAGAAAAGAGATGCCTGCCCTCCAAGGGCCCTACAAGAGCTAGAGACCAGCCTACTCGCCCACACCTCACCCCGCTGCAGCCTAGAAACCTACGTCTGAAAAGGACAAACCAAGGCATTTCTCTCAGACTGAGAGCCAGACTCCCTCAGGGCACTGGAGCCTTCAGGACTGTTTCCCATGAAAGGGGACAAGAATTCTCATCCTGTGTCTCCCTGCAGGCTTCAGAGCCTCTGTGGATGTTCTGTCAGGCCTGGGCTGACCCCTGCAGGACCTGACTTCAGAGGAAGGGAGAAGGGAAAAGGAAGGCTCCCCCAGGCCAGATCCACCGAGGCCCACTGCAGAGAACGCAACAGGGGCCGGAGTCCCCTTGCACCCACCGCCCCTCCCGTCCTCAGCAGACACACACGAGGAACGCACCACACCGGACAACCCAAAGGGGACGTGAGAGGGGGAAGAGAGCAGGCAGGCACAGACGGGGAGGGGGCACACCTCGGGGAGACAAAGGCGGAGGGGACAGGGGCTTCCGGGTCCCCTCCACCCCGCCCCCACTCCACCAGCACAAGGACTTGACTGAGTTTACAGACACCGTGGACGGACAGGAGCATGGCATACTCAGCCTCAGCCCCAGCTGTGCCAGTCACCCGAGGAGAGGGGAGCCTTTCTCCTCCTCCTCCAAACCGCCCCAACCTGTCCTCAAACACCCAGCTCGCCAGCTTGCCCCTGGGCAGGGAGACGGCTCACACCGCGGACTAGCTAAGGTTGGTCTGGAAACACGTGACCTCGCATTCTTGGCTGAGATTCACGGTGTGGGGCCGGGAGCGGGTATGGGGGCTGGAGGTGACACGACTCCTCGGAGATTAGTGACAAGGGCAGGGGGCCAGGATGGGAGGGAGACACACGGTTACACCACCGGAATGCTGACTTGGGTCTTCGGCTGGTCGGCCCCTTCTTGCGTGTCCAGGGCACGGAGCGGGCTGAGGGGCTGGAGGGGCCGGCTCCCAACACTGTAATTTCTTGGACGCCTGATTGTATTCGAACTGGACAGAGGCGTAAAGCTGTTCCTTCTCATCCTTACAGGGGTTTGGCTCTTGGGAAAGTTGTTCTGATTGGAAACGAGGGACACCACACAAATGAAAGCCAAGCCAAAAGCTCACTCATCAAGGTTAAACAACGCTTGTAACCAAACAGCCTCCTCCACTCCTGCTCCTCCGCACACAGGCTCTCTCGTAAGACCTGGGCCATGGCCTAGTCCCCCAGCCCTGGGAAGCTAAAGGGTTGTAGGGGGGAGAAGTTCCTTGAGCATCATACTTTGAAGCAAGAGAGAGGCTCAAAGAAAGGAATGGGCTCATTTAAGATCACTCAGATTACCAGGGCAGACCTAGGAACTAACCTACACTTCCTGACCCCACCTTCCAGGAACCTACTTTCCAAAAGGAGCTCTTTCTAGGGGGGGTAAGAGGCGATATTTGCATTTCACTTCTGCCAAACACTTTCCGTATTTCATTGGATTTCCAAGAGCCAACTGTCAAGGTTAAGACTCATGAAAGAGATACTAATTTTCAAAAATAGTGATTCCAACATCTCTTCCTTTGGGAAGTAAGCAGACTACGTGGGACATGAGTTCTGGATCTGTTTTTCCTTCTGGACATAAAAGAAACCCCCGTCTCTCGATGTCAAAGGTTCAAGACTCAAGGTGGCAGGGAACCTGCATGTCATCCATGGAAAAATACTTACAGTTGGCTTGTCACGGTGAGTGTTCACAGCCTCCACATTGAGTTTAATTGTTTCCACTTTGCACCCTGAGAAAACAGAGAGAACTTCAGGGAAAAAAAGCTTCAAGAAAAAGCCCTTATGTTTCAGTTTGGTAATTAAAGAACATAGATATACCCAAATACACACATACATCCTTTCAAAAACCGAAGGACTGAGGGAACCTCCCCGGTATACAGAAGCGATGAAGAGAACTTCTAGGCGAACTTACAGAAAATTTAATATCCTGACCTTCCCCAAGCCCCACCTCCTGCCCATTCCCAGGCTCATGGTTACCGTAGGCCACGGGAGTAAGTCTGAAGATGGTGTGCAGAGGACACCTCAGGTACGGCAGCTCATCTGAAAGTGGAAAGTCCAGGTGGAGGAAATCTCAGTGTTATGAAACAAGGTCAAGTTAGTGGAAGAGAGCATCTAAGGGGCTCGTGAGTTTTCTTTACCCTGACCTAGAGTTGGACAACTCCTCCTCTAAACCCAGTAATTATCAACACGGCCGCCAAGAAAGCCACCCAGACTACTGGGTGTCTCAGAAAGGAAATAAGCCCACTTCAGATCCTTCCTTGCAGGCAAAACAGGAGTAAGTGCTGTGTCCAGGGGACCCACGAAGGGAAGACTGGGGCTCAGGTGGGTACACCAGAGGTCAGTGTGCAGGCCTCTCAGCAGTGTAGGAAGATCAGGAAGGGAAGGAAGGGGCGTATCAAAGATGATGCAGGAGCACTTCCTTACTGCTACCCCAGAAACCTGTCTACCCCGAATCCCAAGGATAAAGATGCTTCTAAGACACCACCCTCCCTGGAGCTCAAGTAACACGCCGGGAATGTCCAACCACTTTTCTACTGCTGCCAGGCGTGTGAGCTCAATGCTGCGGCTCCAGACAAGCAGGACCAAGAGCCCCAGCAGCAGCCCCTCTCCACTGGGGACTTTTGCACCAGCAGAGGGGTTGGCCCCGAGGCTGCTGGGAGCCCCGCACTGCCGACTGAAGAATGCACTCCAGTCTGAGTGCAAGGGGGGAAGTCTGGTTGCCAGGTATCCCAGTGCCACCCCAAGTCCAGCCTCCCCACCCCCGCCATGGCACCTGCGCCCTTGTCCAAGAAGTAGGCCAGAAGGCAGCGCATGACAGCCTGGTGGGAGATGACGAGGACATTGCCCTGGCGCTCCAGCTCCATGATGACTGGCTCCAACCGCTGCACCAGGTCCTGGTACGACTGCGGGGGAAACGGGGCGGGCTGGTTGGAGGCCAGGCGCGAGCTGGCAGCCAAGTCAGTGGCCACGTCCAGAGTTCAGAGGCCGCTTCTTTCTCCCCAGATGGCTTTCCTCCTGGAGGTTCAGCAGCTTCGTGTCGCCTGCTAACCACCCCCATCCCCGGCATCTCCTGAGAATCTTCAGACCCTTCAAGAGCTATATGAAGACCAAGAAAACTGTACGTCAAGAAAGGAAAATCTAAACACAAAGTGTGTGTTGAATTTTTTTCTCCCTACAGAGTAGGCAGAGTATAAGGCAACAGAGGCTCCTAGGGATTTCCTAGACCCTATAAATTTATTTTGTTTCCCTTTGCCTCACACACCCCTAGACTATGAAGCCACTTAGACTAGCAAGCCGTCGTAAACACCGCAGATGACAGGAAAATCCTCAGACCCCATATATTTACTTGGTGCCTATACCTGCTTGGGTGAGGATGGAATAAAAAAAAAAGTGATGGGGACTTCCCTGGTGGTCCAATGGTTAAGAATTAGCCTTGCAATGTAGGGGACGCAGGTTTGATCGCTGGTCATTGAAGTGAAATAAGATCACACATGCCACGGGAAGCTTACACTCACGGCCACAACTAGAGAGAAGGCTGTGCAAACAACGCTTGCCGCACTGTGAGATCCCACGTGCTGTGACTGAGACCAAACGCCGTCAAATAAATAAAAAAGAAGTATTTTTAAAAAAAAGTTTAAAAAGATTCTGCTGATTCTAAAATGTACTCAACAACAGAGGCTATCTTGTCATCCCTTACCTGGGGATCTTAACAAATTGAACTGCCTGAGCTGAATTAAACACAGTAGGACCCAAAAGTAGGAAGAAAAGCTAAGTGATAACTTAAGCACCCCTGGAAGGTCCCCAAACTCACATTCAATCCTTCCCCCAAATTAAAGCTAAACCCCAAGCAAAGGATGGAACAGTCAGCCCACGGGAAGGGGATCTCACCTCCCCTCCAGGATATCGGTATAGATATTTCTCTTCATCTCGAAGCGCAAACTCGTCCGGGTACTGCTCCTGAATCTCTGCGTAAGTCATCTCCTCGCACACGCCCTGCAGGAACCACACAGCTCGGAGAGGCGATCGGACACACAGCCCCCCAGAGGAAGAGGTGACCCTGAGGAGTGTCAGTCGTCAGCACCAGGCACGGGGCCGGCTCCCTCACACACTGTAACTGACCGATGCGCAGAGTGAGGGCTGAAGCTCAAGCTGCCGCTTTCTCCTGTGGCTGGGGACTGAGAGGTCAAGAAAAGTCAGCAGGAAGAAGGAGGGGAGACGGGGACGGAGGGAAACTCCAGGCCCTGCGGAATTCCTACAGGAGGCATAAAAGGATACAGAGGACGGAAAGAAAAGGGAGTGTCTACTTCTGACCTCAAGGACAAAGAAACGCAAAAACAAATTTGGAAAGGACTTTTCTAGAAGAGCTGACCAAGTTACCTAAGCAGAAATCAGACAAGATGTGAGTTGTCAGTTATTTCCTTTCCCTAGGAGGAAAATATATGAAGGAACCAACTGGAGCTTCATGCTCCCAGGTGCCAGAGGCCATGTCAAAAATTGGTTTGGGTGTTGGCACAGGTACATCAGGCAGGCAGGAAGCCCGGACTGGGGACACAGCTGTTCTCACTTCCTCCTCAGACCAGCCACAGATTCAGCTTCCTAAACGTCTCTACTTGGCAATTCTAGTTTTCTAGATAGCACAGCCCACGTGGTGACTTCTGAGAGTTCCAGCCTGAACAGGAGCCCTTAACTGGCGTTTTAGCCATCAGAGCTTCCTACTCACAGCATCAATCTCGTTCAGAATCTTCCACTGCTCGTAGGTCACCCCCAGAGATTCAGCGGTCTGGATTGTCCTCTTCAACTGGCTTGTCCACACTTTGAGGTCTGCTATCTCCTGTTCCTCCAGGAACTTCCTTAGAGCCTGGGCAAACTGGGGCATGAAACAAAAGATGTAAAAGAAAACACAGAAGCGGACTTCTCTGGTGCTCAGTGGTTAGCACTCCAAGCTTCCGCTGCACGGGGCACAGGTCTGATCCCTGGCTGAGGAATTAAGATCCTGCATGCCAGGCATGGTGAAGTCGAAATGAAAACACACACACAGAGGACTGCTAATTCAACCCAGAAAGGACAATGTGCATGACCCCAGTCAAACTCTGAAAGGTGCTACCTAGTTATAATAGCCCCAGGAGGAAATGAACTTCAACCAGAGCACCCTGTACTGTGCAGGGCATACAAGCTGAGCCCAATAAATGTCCAACGGCTGAATAATCACAGCAGAAATGGTTCCAAGTTATGCACCCTCCAGTGCTGAGCTAGAATCCATGAACAAGAACACGCCTCTTCACTGAAATTGCAACTTAAGCCTAATAGGATTCAGTAAGAAGTTAAGGGGATCAAAGAGATGACCTCCAGCATGTCCCGCTCACCCTGAGCCTGGGACACCCAGCCCGCTGGCTGCCTACTCACCTGTTTCCCTCGCGCCGAGAGGCCTGAGTCGCCCCCAATCTTCCCCACAAGGTTGAACTCGCTCTCGCCGTGCCGGCAGAGGTAGATGGTGCGAGGGTGGACGTGGATATTCATGAGGTAGTAGACGATCTTGCTCTGGATGTAGTCCTGGACTTTGTTCACAAGAAATCGCTGGCCCACATTTATCACCTTGATGAAAGAAAGATCCCTGGGACAAAGCAGGGGAAGAAAATCCCCTGGGTATGAAAATCTGAGGATAACAGGAGGGCAACTGCAGAGTGACGTGAGGCCCCTAGAGGCTCTTCCATCTCTCCCGTGATACCCCCACCCACGTGGAAGGAGCCAGGTGGAAAGAGATGGGTCGCTCACTCCTCAGAACCAAGGTGCAGCAAAATGTCCTGAGCTTCTCATCGGGCAGAGCCAGGCACTGTGGTGGCTAAGTGTGCTGAGCAGAGCTCAGGCCACCCCTCTAGGGCTAGACTAGATGACCTGGTGATTTTGGTAACCCTGAAGTTTGCTGAGAAGCACAGCGTCCAACTCAGGTGGTTAAGACAGAGTCAGTGTACGGCATCCCCCCGAGGGGAGGGGCAGGGAGGAGGGAGCAAAACCACAGACAGACGTCTCTGCACGCTCCCTCCGCCCACCTGTCAGTCAAGCTTCTCTCAAAGGCACTCACAAAGCCCGCTCTGGGGCCACATCATGGAGTTTTTCTCACAGAAAAACAAGTGTGGGGCTTCCCTTGTGGCTCAGCACTGAAGAACCCACCTGCCAGGCCAGGAGACACAGGTTTGATCCCTGGTCTGGGAAGACCTCTCAAGCCTCAGAGCAGCTAAACCCATGTGCCCCAACCACTGAGCCTGTGGTTTAAAGCCCACAGCTGCTGAGCCCTCACATGACAACCACTGAGGCCTACGCCCCCCCAGAGCCCGCGTTCCGCAACAAGAGAAGCCGCCACAGTGAGAAGCCCACGCACCGAAACTAGAGCAGCCCCCACTTGCCACAACCAGAAAAAAGCGTGCACTGCAACGACGACCCAGCACAGCTGAAAATAAATAAAACTACCTAAAAAATAGTAGCTGCTTATTCCAAAAAAAATTTTTAAAAGGAAGAAGCAAATAAAAATCACCCATAACCCTACCACCAGAGGTAACATCTATAAACACACACACATATTCTCCTTGAATATTGTTCAATGTAGGACTTTGGGCTAACTAAAGAATATACTATTATGCCATATCTAGAGCAGTAGTTTTCAATTTCTGTATTAAGTAACATCTCCAAACAGTAACATTGTGGGCAACACACTGGAAGGAACTGAAAGACTAATAACATGAAGCAGACCACTGAAGCAATTTAACAATGGGCTATGCACACTCACCATTTGCTGGGCTGCAGAGCTGTATTCTCATCTGAATAGAGCTGCTCTGACTACACGCTTTTATGAAGACCACCTTCTCATGGGTCTCCCTGTGCACATATCATTCTTCAACATGGACTCGGCATTTTGCTACAAGTCTTATCGCTCTCACACATCAACTTAACCTGCATTCCAGGCCACATTGCCGATAGGTACTGCCATGCTAAGTAATATATAAAAGCCATATATATATATATGTGTGTGTGTATATATGTGTATAGCTTTCCCTGGTGGCTCAGCTGGTGAAGAGTACACCTGCAATGCAGGAGACCCCGCTTTGACTCCTGGGTCGGGAGGATCACCTGGAGAAGGGAAAGGCTGCCCACTCCAGTGTTCTTGGACTTCCCTGGTGGCTGAGATGGTAAAGAAACCACCTGCAATGCAGGAGACCTGTGTTCCATCCCTGGGTCGGGAAGATCCCCTGGAGGAGGGCATGGCAACCCACTCCAGTATTCTTGCCTGGAGAATTTCCATGGACAGGAGCCTGGCGGGCTACAGTCCATGGGGTCACAAAGGGTCAGAAACAATTGAGCAACTAGACAACAACAACATATATGTGTGTGTGTGTGTGTGTGTGTCGGGGGGGGGGGGTGCTTAGTTGCTCAGTCGTGTCTGAGTCTTTGTGATCCCATGGACTGTAGCCCACCAGGCTCCTCTGTCCATGGGATTCGCCAGGCAAGAAAACTGAAGTGGGTCGCCATGCCCCCCTCCAAGGGATCTTCCCAACCCAGGGAACGAACCCAGGTCTCCTGCACTGGCAGAAAGATTCTTTACCACTGAGCCACCAGGGAAGCCTCCTACACACGTATAATAGATTATGGTTTACGCAAAATAAATTGACATGTTATGTTATTCACATATGTAATATATACACACATGCATACATACACACATACACATAAACAATAAACTTTAAAAACTGATCAAAAGCTGGCTGCACATCTTAAAGGGGCGCCGTACAACACCCCAATTCAACACTACTGACCTAGAGCAGTGGCTCTCAGCCAGGGGTGAGCTAGCTCCCCAGGGGACATTTGGTTAAGTCTGGAAACCTTTTTGATTGTCACAGCTTGTAACAGCTATGGGTATCTAGCGGCAGAGGGCAGGGATGCTGTGAAAGCTCCTACAGTGCCCAAGACAGCTCCCCACGGCAGAAATTATCCAGTTCAAAATGTCCATCATGCTGAGATTGAGAAATCATAGTCTAGAGCACACAACTGAAGAACTTATGATAAAAAAACACTGCAGTGTTCAAGTATAAGACTCAATCCGTTCAGAGGCCACAGAGCCTTATCTTTTCTCCCTGGAATGATGTAAACACAGGTCTGGATGATCAGAGGGAAGTCTACAGACAGCGTGAGAAAGGCTCCTCTCTGCCGCGGCCCTCAGACCTCAGCCTCAAACCTTACTTGTCATGGCTGTCTGGGTCGAGGGGCTGATAGGTGACTTTGTAGCACTCAATCCTCTTCAGGAAGTCATCCATCACATTCTCCCTGTTCCTTTCAGGGTAGTCAGGACTCGACACCTTCACCTCCTGGAATCACAGGAAGAGCAGGGCCCGCTCACAGGTCTGCCTGCAACAGCACTCCTGCAAACAGCCCCTGCTAAATAAAGCAAAGGAGGCCGGAGGAGAGGCCTTTCACGGGCGCCGGCGACCCCGTTCACTGAGCAGCACCGGCCCCCTGCTGTGGGCCTGGCAGCCAAGAAGGGACAAACAACTGGGGGTCAGGCACCTGCCCTTGGCTGCAGGACAGAGGTAGCCACACAGCCGAAGCAGCTCACGGGCTCCAGTCCCTTCATGTACCCTCCTGGGAAAACAGAATGGGGTTCAGTTTCTCCCACGGGCACTTAGAATAAGCTGCATGATCTGACGCCTGGCTGACTCGGGCCAGACACCTCTTGGGCAAGTCCCCACACTGCTGGGAGACCTCCACCACGACCCGATGCATGGGCGTCCACCAGCACGGCACGGCACAGCCATCGAATGGGCACAGGCATGAGCTGTGACCACACCGCGTGGCCCCCAGACCGCTGACCTGAACGTTGGACAACTGCTGAGCAGACGACCTTCCTGGAAGGTGCCCCAGACAGATCATGAAGAGTCTGATCCCTTCTAAGAACATACCTAGGCTTCAGCACTTAGCTAACACCCAGAATACAGAGCCAGGACTCCTACAGTTTAAGACGAGCCTCTATATTCAACAGCTAATTCTTACTTTATTCCTTAAAGCCTGCTTCTTCTCCCAAGGAAAGAGGCTAGAAGTATAAAATGTGGTCCGGGCAGATCTAAGAGCTCACCCTGTGCGGCTAAACATGTCTCTCTCACTTTCATTACCAAGCTGACCCTCCATCCACCCCAACCACAAACACACACAAGGCAGAGAGAGGTGTGTGCAAGGGGCTCACCTACCAGGATGTTGGCAGCAATGACGTCAGGATCATCGCAGACGGACTCCACAAAGAACACCTGCCCAGGGGGGAAGGCAGTGATCAATGAGTCAGAAATGGCCAGGCTGTCCATTAAGAGCACACGTTCACACTTGCCTCACCCCAGCCACCACATCCCCCAGAGATTTTCCTTTATAAAAGTGGCCTTCGATCACTCTTCATTTAAAAATAGCTCTTACCACATCCCCATGGCCTCATACATACATGCTAAGGATCTGAGAAATGACCTGAAAGAAAACACTCAAGTTTGGGGGTAAGGCAGCAAGACGAGAGAATCGGGCATCCGGTCCTGACCTTACCCACCAGAGTCAAGCAGGTCCATGCTGCCACCTAACTCCCCACCTCCACCGGCCCTCCTCTTCCTCCAGCTTGGAGGCAGACCCTACCTTGAAGGAATTCTCCTCGGCAAAGTTCAAAATCAAGTCCCTCCTCTCCCGAGTGGTATTGGTGGCATCAAACACCTAGGAAGAGAGCCCGTGGGGCAGAGGAATGGGGACCGGGAAACACAGTCCCACCGAGCTGGGCCCAGGGCGGAGCGGCGCAGTGAGGCTGCTATGGGGGTGGAGACGGGGAAGAGGCAGGTCAGGCTTACTGCAATCTGCCCGCTCTCCTCCGTGAGATACGCCTTCACGTCTTCCAGCGCCACCAGGGCACACTGTCTGCCAAGACAGAGGAGGAAATCAGCCAGAGGACGGAGCCAAGGCCAAGCTCAGGCACAGGCAGAGATGGGAACCGCTGGGGTGCCGCAGGGGTCGCATCCCTTCTGTTCAGTTTCCCCGCAGATCAAAAATTTTCTCCAATCTGACCTTTCAACTTCCCCGTTACTCTTCTACCTTCCTGGATCTTGTGTGTTCCCCAGCCCACATGCATGTCTCACCCTCTGAAAGCTTAGCCTACAACAATACTCACAACTGTCTGAGTCCTGTTCTTCTACCCACCCAAGTCCACAGTGATCCGCCCAGTGGGTACCTTCCACCTAAAATTTCCACCAGGTGTTTACCAAGAAGGAAACCGAGCCCCGTGACAACCAGTCTCATGATGGCCAAGGAAGGGATGGCCTGGTGGTCAGGCCTAGAGGACTCACTTGCGAATCTTCATGGCCTCCTCGTTGTCATGCCTGAAGAAGTCATAGGACTTATAGGACTTGACTGCTTGCCGCCGATACACCCCAAGATTAAACACTGCAGAAGACACCCACAACCTTTAGCAGTGAAACAATACAATGCCCCAAAGCGGACTTCTCGATCTAATGTCAGAGTGGCCAAGGGGACTGAAAACAGCACCATGGTATGCTGGCAATAACACAAGACTAAGAATCAGGTTAAGTTCAAGCTCTGACTTAACAGACTCTGGACAAGTCTTAAATTATCTGACTTTCAATTTTCTCAGCCACTTTGGCTGTTCCACAGGGATACTGCTAAATAACGCAGATGTAAGGGCTCTGGAAATGTAAATTTAATTTAATTCTTAATACTCCTATCAAAGGCATTCCTCCCAAATTAGGCCAATACAGACAAGGCCAGGAGGAACAAGTGTATAGCTAGAGAATAAAGCTGGTAAACCAGGAAAACCACAGTTGCTGCCAGGAGCACCCTATACCTTTGATGCCAGGGACACAAAGTCTCCCAGAGGCCTGGGAGGCCCAGAGCTGATCACTTCCTTTCCCAGAGAACGCACAGCCACACCTACCTTTGGTGGGCACGCCAATCCAGTTGAGGTAGCGTGTAAGCTTCTTGGACACGTAGGTTTTGCCACGGGCTGGTAAGCCAATCATAACGATGAGGGTTGGAGAGTTTGTCATGTAAGATGCCCATGCTAAAAGGAAATGGAATGGAACAGAAGTAAATAATGAGAGGCCAAGTAAACAGTGTGCAAGGGGCTAAGCCTTCATGATCAGAACCTGGTTTGATTCTCATTCACCTCGGTGAGGCCAGGGTCCAAGAGGATTGGAAAGGCAAACCGAGGTGAACCTCCTAAAAGACAAAGTACCCAAACGAAGATGTGCCTTTTCCACATGTCCAAGGTCTTCACAGAGGTGCACAAGGTGAAAGAGAAAGAAAAAGTGGCCAGGACTAGAAAGACAGTAGCCACAGCACCTTCCTCGGCACTGAGAATATTCAGTAACTCGGAAGTGACGGCGCCATGAAGGAAGGCCTTGGGCCTGGAGATTCTACCAGTGCAGTGCTGAGCTGGCTCCAGGAACTCATCCAACAAACTGTCTGTCCTGAGGGCCCCATCTACCCCTTCAGAGCCACAGGCAAGACTTACCTTGAGCATCGAAAGAAGATCCTGCCCTCAACCTGTTTGGGCCTTTGTGCTCAGGCCACGAGTTTAAGCCAGAACTTTTAAATGATTTAGATGGTGTCAAAGCCTACCTGGGTGGCTCAGATGGTAAAGAATCTGCCTGCGGACACAGGAGACCCAGATTCGATCCCTGGGTCAGGAAAATCCTTTGGAGAAGACAGTGGCAACCCACTCCAGTATTCCTGCCTGCAGAATCCCATGGACAGAGAAGCCTGGCAGGCTACGGTCCACAGGGTCACAAAGAAACACGACTGAAGTGACTTGGCACGCACAGCACAAAGCCTGTGTGACCCAGGATCTGACTAGACCTCAGGAAACGTCGTGGTAAAGCTGGCCCACAAGGGCATTACGGCCAGGCTGCCTGAAAGGCCCAGACAAAAGCAAGACAATTTAGAAGCAGAAGAGCCACGGGTCTGCCCTTCCTTAGAAAACAGATTTCAAGAATGCTCATTTGCACAGACGCTCTCACTGGGCAGGCAGGGGCAAACCAGATGCTCAGAGGCCAGGTGACTCGCCTGAGGATAGACACTGAGTCACAGAATTAGCTTTTCCCCATAAAAAGAGCCTATGATGAGGATCAGCTTACTCACGGCCCCTCCCTGCCCACCCTGCAAAGGAGTGGTGGAAGAGGGCCCTGCCCGCTGCCAGTCACAGCCCCGGGGCCAAGACCCAAACACAGGTCATCAGGAGGGACTCAGGCTCTGCGTCGCCCACGAGGGAGGCCCTGTGCACAGACCGCACGGGAGATAGTCACGTGCACCTCCATCTTCAGAGGCGTCCAGCAGGTAGCTGCTGCTTCACTTCCCTGGGACAAGGCGACCCTGGAAGGCTAATAAACAATTCAGCAAACCGGTGGTACCTGGATGGGAATGTCATCTTTCATTGTTAGAGAAGGGAAGGTAAAAAGGTCTCAGTGGAGAAGTGGGCAGAGGGGCGTGGGTAGAGAACAGACCTTGGAAGGAAAAGAGTTTCCTAGGAGTGTTTGGCAAGAAGTACCCAGTAGCCAAACAGGGCCCTGGCAGTGAGCGAGGGGTGGATGCCCAGACTTGGGGTCAGAGGGGTTGGCTTTTAGCCCTTCACCCACTGGGGACATGGAAAACTCCCAGGCCTGAGCAGGAGCCCCTCCAAGGTAGGGGATGAGCAACAGAAGCAATTTTCATCTCTGTCCCAATGGGGAGCACAAGGGCAAGCAAATGCCTGTGCTGCAGCCTCGGCTGATGTTAATCCCTGACCTTTTGACCGCCAACAGGCAGATCGGTTGCCTCAGGTTTCAGAAGTGAAATCCTCCCGAGTCTTCACTTTCTCCAGCTCAGCGCCGTTCCCTTTCCAATCTCCGTGGCTTGGCTCATTACCCGCACCTCCAGTGCTGCCCGGCCCGCACCTTCCAGCCCATTACGCACTTCCCCCAAACGTCCTCTTACCCTCCCTGAAGCTGAAAATGAACTGATGATCCCTGGGAGATGCTCTGAAGCCGGCCAGGGAGCCAGCTGCTCCATGTTTACCAAACAGGACAGAGAGTGCTAAGAACAAAAGGAAGCGCGGCGCACTAAGGACTCCGCTTGGCGGCCCCCAGCGCAGCTCCCCCTCGGCCCGCGACACACCCACACATACCTGCTGCAACAGGGCTGCTCATTTACCCGGGGACAAAACTAAACCATACTGTCTATCTCAAATTGCCCCATCGGCAGTACTGGGAACACTCTGTCTTGCCTGTTAAAAAACAAAACTATCACCACTTTAATCATAGTAGACACTTCACGCTGATTAATTTCAGACACAATATATTATAACACATGCTGTGCTTAGTCACTGAGTCATGTCCAACTCTTTTTGACCCCACGGACTGTAGCTCACCAGGCTCCTCTGTCCATGGGGACTCTCCAGGCAAGAATACTGCAGTGGGTTGCCATACCCTCCTCCAGGGGGATCTTCCCAACCCAGGGATCAAACCCAGGTCTCCCGCATTGCAGGTGGATTTTTTACCATCTGAGCCACCAGGGAAGCCCAGGAATACTGGACTGGGTAGCCTATCACCTCTCCAGGGGAATTTCCTGACCCAGGAATCAAATTGGGGTCGCCTGCATTACAGGTGGATTCTTTACCAGCTGAGCTACCAGGGAAGCCCATATTATAACATATCCCTTGACAAAGTTTGGAAAGCTGTTTCAAAGCTGAAATTCTCTTCTGCCTTCTGTACACAAGGTTGAACTCACTTTCTCAATCTTAGCCTTCTTTTCCTTCACAAACACACTTAGAGGAAATGAGTGTGTGAAAACTTCCCTCCTGTAGACAGAAAACCTGCGGCCCAGAAAAGGGAAGAGCTTGGCCCACAGTCCTGCAATAGAAAGTCAAGGTCAGGGCCCTGACCAGACTCCCAGTTTCATGACCGTCCAATTAGTCCCAGTCACTAGCTCTTGGCAGCACCTGACAAAGGGAACCAAGCGGCCAGCACAACTCTGATCTCTAATCTAAACTGAAGGGTAGTCTACAAGGCCCACAGTCCCTGGCTCTCTCAGGACCAAGGTCATCTTCCACTTTTTGTTCTCAACAGCCCCAATATTTTGAAATGTACTGCCCTATGTGATTCATTAGTAATACCTTCTCTGTGTTCATCAGAAGTCATAAAACTGCCAATTATGTCCTGCCGTTTTACTGATAAGCCTAATATATCCAAGTTCTGCAGCCAAACACTAAGAAAGTTAATGTTTTAGTTAACCAGTGCAGCTATAGTTTAATGCCCAATTTCTATCAAGTACTTTGGAATATTAAAAACTGCTAACAACACAGAGCTTTTGAGGAATGCTGATGAGTGTTTCGAAGTGTCTGACTTTCCTCTGAGTATTTCTACAGGAAAGCTGCTGGCACAAACATGCAAGGATGCTTCTTACACTGTTGTTGGTGATGGTGGAAAACTGGAAACAATGGAAACGTCCATCAGGGAGAGGCAATATTCACACAAGGCTGATTGAAGAATGAAGTAAATTTGAACTTGTCAACACACAAAAAATGTCCAGAATATAGTTTTAAAAAGGAGCAGGGGAGAGATGGTGGCAGAATAAAAAATGTACAGTGTGAACCTATTTTCATTAACAGGATACACCAGAGTAAGATTTTAGAAAGAATCAAACTTAACAGGGACAGGAGAAATGGTGAGAAACTTCTTGCTTTTCACTTTCTTTCTGTGTTGTAATTAGGGGAAGATTCCATATGAGAAGCTGTCTATTCCAGACCTGCTCAAAATATCAAAAAATAAAAGAAACAAAGAAAGAAAACCAGGTGGACCTCCCCGGCTACCCCTAATTCCTGCTTTCACTGAGCCCTGAAACCAGCTGTCTCAGCACCTTTAGGGCACTTCAGCCAGCACCACCCCCTTTTCCCCCCATCCCGGGAGCAGCTGAAATTTCAGTAATGCTCTTTTGGAGGCTTTGGCTCTCTAAGGACATTCTACAGCCCTCCAGTTCAGGCACTTCCCAGAGTCGAAGTCAGCCAACAAACAGGTGTAATTAGCAGTAATGGGATAATGTACGAGCTATTAATAAACCAACTCCTGTGTATGAACACTCAGCAGCCTGGGAAGCCTGTTGCAAGATACAGGCAAGTAACCGAGAAAAGGGAAATAAACACATACTCTCACAACTGTATTTCTCCTTGGACTGTGGCTTTCAAAATCTCAAGAGTCCAAACACGAACGGAGAACAAAGTGGGGTAAATGAATGGCAGCAGCTTCGGGAGAACCCAGATGCCTCCGATGGGGAAGACAGGGGTAGAACTTGGAAAGGAGAGATCAAGAACTAGAGTCTAGAGGATGGAAAGATACCTGGGATTATTGTTTCCTTGACTAATCAAAAGACCTCAAGGCAAAAAAACTGCAAAAAAGTGAGGAAGGCAGGTAGGAGAGTCCTTTGGAGAAAAAGCAGAGCTAGAAGGGCTGGCGCTGGGCACTGGGTAGGGCCCGTGACCCCCAGTTATCAACTCCCCACCCCCAAGCACCACCTGTTCTCTGCTCTTTCTGGACTCAAATGTCCCAGCAACATGAGGGCACCTCTCTTTAAGATATGCATTCCATACCCTTAAATCTGGGCTACCATATTGTCAAACGAGAGGAGAAAACACTTTTTACTGAAAATATGATTCTTTACAGGGCTCCTTTAAACAGTGAGATTCCAGCACAGCATTTACCACATAATTCAATCTATATATAATGCTTCAGGAACAGACACAACATGCAAATTGTTACCGGTGAAAAATAACACATTTTAGCCACATGCCTAACATTCTTCTAAGTGCTCTCCTATATATACGCATTCAATTCTCATATCACTCAGAGAGATACTATTAATATCCCCATTTTATCAAAAAGTAAACTGAGGCATGGGGCAGACAAGCAACTTAGTTAAAAGCACCTAGCTAGGAAGTAGTAACAAGAAGATTTGGACCCAGGCAGTCTGACTCCAGAGGCTACACCCAAACGTCGTGATACAGTAGGTATCTTCCACAGGGTTCTTGCCCTCGGTACCTGGCTTCCTGCCCTGGCAGAGAAAGAAGACCCTAATCATACAGGTGCACCAACCCCAGGATCACCCCCAAACAAGCCACCTCTGCTGCAGCCAAACCCCAACAAGCCTCATCAGTGATAGGTGAAAAAAGATGATCATCATTAATCATGAGACTGACAAGGGCGTGACATGAAGGTTGAGACTCTGGGGAAAGTCTGGAACATGAGATGATCCCAAGTCTCATGCTGGTTGACTATTTCCACCTACTGATAAATATAACCACTGAAGTGAGAAGGACTGCCTGGTAGGGTTCCAAGGGAACTTGGAAGCAGGGACAGAGTGAGCTTTCCTTGAGTTTCCCCAAAACATCTGGGGACCAACTGCCCAGGACCTTTTGACCTGGGTGATACAGTCTTGCAGTCTGAAGGATGCTTAGGCATGCAGATCACGGGGACAGGAAACACCACTTCATCCCTCTGCAAACCCACCTGTTGTCTCTGTCTAAAAGATGAGCATGGAAATGCTCCTGTGAAACCCATCCCCAGAGGAAAATAGTTTGCAAAATATAAAGACTAAACTTGTGAGGCAGTAAAGTGCCCCAGACATGGCAAAAAGTGAAATGTCATGGTCAATTTCCCTTAGGCCTATAGAAATGAGCAGCTGGTTCCTACCTGCAATTTCTGCTGTGAGCAGCACTCTCACAAAACTTAGCCCAAGAGATTAAGGGAAACTCTTAACAGTATCAGCCCCAAGGAATTCCTGCACCCTGCCACTCTGCCTTACTCACTGCATGTACAATACTTACTCTAACTTTCGGCATCAACTGACTGGGCAAATACTCCCATGATGGAGGAGATAAAGATTCAGTTACAGAAAGCAGGAAGAAATTGCTGGGCTACACCAGCAGTCTAGCCAAGGACAGACATTGCACTGAGTCTACTTGTTTCAGAAAGGAAATTCCCCTGCTATACTTTGTTTTAAATTCCCGTGTCAAAGAATTATTTCTCACTCCCACTCAGCAGCAAAGTCGAGAATTACAACAATATTCCCAAAATAAAATCATGGGACAGAGCAGCCCCTCCTCTTTCCCAACACTCACAACATTTCTTCTCTGACATTCGGAGACTTGCTTTGGTTTCATAGCTATTGTTGTTCTGTTCTGAGGAAGAGGCAGGATTCCCAGACATGGCAACTCTTCAGGAGATGCCTGGAAGGGACAAAAGGAATGTAAAGAAGGGAAGGAAGAAAAGAACCCTCAGAACACTCAAAAGAGGACCACTGAGGTACAAGTGAAAGAACCCTGGGTCAAGGGTCAAAGCCAGCCCTCCTTCTCCCAGTTAATAGCTACATGCCCCAGGATAAGTCATGAATATCTCCAGCCCTCTGTTTCCTTATCTATGAACAGTTGCACCAGATCCTTGCATTTATAATACTGACTTAGGAGTTTACATTCACATAAATTATCTCCTTCAATCCTTCCAATAATCATGTAATAAAACAGATTTTGCTACCATTGCTACTTCTCCCCATTTTAGACCGAAAAACTGAGGTTAATCAAATTAAATGGCTTATCCAAGTCCCTTCCTAACCTCAGATTCCAGGTTAAGAATCTGGGGAGAGTAGTGGCATCAGGTGGGGGTGGGGTGGATTGTGAATAGATCAAGTTCATTATCATAAGCAACTGCAGTCCAATGGTAGGATTCAGTTCTGGGGGGTGGGGGGGAGAAAAAAAAGGAGAGAATCGGGAACATCTCAAACATGTCCCCTAAAGGAAAAACCGCAGCTGGGTCCGGGACAGCCCCCGGACGTCACCACTTTCCCTTATGGTGTTCTTACTCTCAACCCCCGGTCCGCACCCCCTCCCCATACATCTCCTGGGAAGCAGTCGATGGAAGAATCACCGGGTAACTAGATGTGGTAAATAACTTTCCCAAGGTCACTTGCAGCATAAGGGGTAAGTCCTGAATCTTAACTGGAGTGGGAGAGTCCCGAGTCCACTCCGCAATCCCAGACAAGGGACTCGTGAGAAAGACGCCCAGTGCTTCAGGGATCCTGCAGTTCTTTCACTGACCACGTACATCCTCTGAACTCACCCACCAGCTGCGGCTCTGGGTCCCTAAACGTACACATTCCAGGTAACGCCTGGGGTGGGGGCGGGGGGAATCCGGACTTGCCCCAAACAGCGAGGCTTCATCTTCCCGCACCTCATCAAGGTCCAGGCAGCCCCCCTCCTGTCGCCTGCCAAGCCCCTTCAAGGTGCTGCACAGCCTCCGTCCACCCTAAAACCCCTCCCGCCTGCGGCCCCGGTACCTACCCGTTGAGGCTAACAGGCGTGAGCCGACTCTGGGGCCGGGGTCCGGGGCACCAGCAGCCGGCGGGTCACGTGCCCGGCCCGGCCCCGCCCACCAAACCTGGTCCCGCCCATCCCGGCTTCAGCCCTCACCTGGAGAGGTTCCTCGGCCAATCGAGCGCCCGCGGGCTCCGGGGGGCGGGGCTCTCTCTCGCTCGTTCGGTCAGGAGGAGGGACCTGTGAAGGTGAACTAGCGCGAGTTCGCGAGTCTCCCGGCGCCGTGGAGGTTGGCTACACCGTTGCTTGGCAACTAGCACGGCTGGGGGCGGGGTTAAGAAAAAGTCGGACTATTTTTCGTACTATCGCGAGAGTGAACTAGTGGCCGTCCTGAGGGGGTGTGGCTTTTTGCTGACTGGAAAAAAAATGCTGTGAAGATTAACGCTCTTCTTCCTGAATCCCGGCGGGATCTCGTTAAATCCAAGCACTGGAGCATACACTTTAGAAGGTGCTTTGCTTCAGGTCACAGAGAGTCGGACTCGACTGAGCGATTAACACGTGCTAAAGTAAACCACCAAGGACTTAAGCGGATCGCATTTTAGGATGTTTGCATAGTCCCTTCGGTCAAACACTGTAAACTAAGAAAATCAACTACTCTCCTCGCCGAAACAGGGTCTTCCCTGAACCCGTGCTCGTCCTCCAGTGGACTTACCATCTTATTTACGCTCTCGTTTACCACCCACGCTGTACCGGTTGTTATGATCATCTTGAAGAACCAAAGAGGAAAATTGCTCCAGGAGAAAATTGGGTCCTGAAAGGTTTGAAAAGATGCTTTGCTTCCATATAATTTATTCAGAGGCAGAAACTTTAACAGTGTTAGTGAGTTTCCACATTTCAAGTGCACAGTTGCCCCCAGGGCCCATTCGATGCTTGATTGTAGTTATAAATCCCCTCTACGCAGTGTAGGCTTTGCCGCTCTGCCTCCAGGACGGAAAAAGAACAATGCGTACGTATCTCTTGGAAGAGAGGTGAATTCAGAGATGTTTTTATTCCTCTTTCACCTGGGGATTAAATTCATCCTTCAAAACAGCTCAAACAGTATCTCCTCTGAAACTTTTTACAACTCCCAGCTGCCCCTTCTGTGCCTATACACCTCCGTTTCATCCATTCAGCAAGTATTTACTGAGCACTTACTTGCGAGGCACCGTCCTTTGTTCTCGGGATATAGGTTTGGAAAAGGTCACATAATCTAGCATTATCACGTTGCTATGAAATTCCGTGGTTATGTGTCCTTTACACCCCACCCTCTCTCCTGATTACGTGAGTACTTTGCTATTTTGAAGGCAGGAATGGAGTCCTTTTGGTATGTGTGTGTCTAGGGCCTGAACTGGAATCTGAATGACACACGTTGGTCTTCATTCCTCCTCCTTATACCGCCACCACCTCCTGAAGGTAGCAATTGCCCTCTGCCCAGATGCTGACCTCATACTGCGCTTTCTGATGTGGCCAATGGACGTTTTCAAGTTACAGTCTCCTGGAGGTGGAAAGGCCCTTTAACCTCAATGAGTCAATGTTTGCTGCAGCCGAGTCTATAGTCACGAGTACTTATTTGTCTTTAACTGGTTATTTGACTCATAGGCCATTCTTGGCATTCGTCTGCATTCCGAACTGATTCTTGTTTCTCCCTGCGTAGTTTGGAAGCCCCAATTTAATAATTTCCGAACTAAGTGCAAGGTTACATTCCAATGGCTTCGATTCAGGAACTCCTTCCCCCGCCCTCTTCCCTTGAGCATATATGCTTCCGACGCGGAGGGTACCTCACTAGCCCTACAGGCGGCAAGACCAGGCGTACTTTGGGAATACGGATAAACCTTCATCCTCTGCCTCCTGACAAGTGGCAGGAGTTAGTTGTCTCTTTAAGAGCGTGCTAGAAAAGAAGCCGAAGAGTATCGCGAGAACCGCACAACCAGCGATTTCTCGCGATGTTTAGACCGGCAAAGGGTGGCCATTTTGGAATCCACCCGGCGGCTGGTAGCCCCGGCGGCGTCTGCCAGCCTGCTGCCGGGACCAAAGCTGGCCCCACCGGTGTCTGCCCGGTGGGCGGCCGCACCAACGCGATGTGGCGGCTCCGCTGCAAGGCCAAGGAGGGCACTCATGTTTTGCAGGGGTTGTCCAGCCGGACCCGGGTGCGAGAACTCCAGAGCCACATTGCCGCCATCACCGGGATCTCCCCCGGCTGTCAGCGAATCCTCGTCGGATACCCGCCCGAGTGCCTGGATCTTAGCAACGGGGATACCATACTAGGGGATTTGCCCATCCAGTCAGGTACGGGAATCGAGGCTGGGCCAGGCAAGGTCCTGGGAGGACCTAGAGGGGCAGAAAGAACGGACGCTGTCAGGGCCAGGTCTCTAGGGGTCGGCTTGGGGGACGAGAATAGGAGAGATTAAAGAACCGAGAATTCTGACGGAGGCCAGGACTAGTGTCCAGCAACTCCCTGACTTCACATATAGTTTGAAAGAGACAGGGAGGGCCTGATCTCTATGAGAAGCTCAAAAACCGTGGAGTCCTCTTTCCTGGCTGCTTTCTGGTCTGCCTTGAAAACATCTCATTCATTTTGTTTCCCTCTGCGTCCACAGAAGTATTTTTTAAATGCGATGTTTTCTCTGTCCTGATTGTTCTTTTTCCCTGTATCAGTGAAAGAAGACAGTATGTCTGAAAAATGTAAGATACTTTTTTTTGCTTTCCTGGTTCATTTTTACAATCGCCTTCATTGGTACTTTCTCTGACAGTTATACTCATTTTAGAGTTTGCTTTGACACATCCACTGAAGGCGCTTTAAAGTTCTATACGAAAGCAGTTATTTCTGTCCAATATTAAAACATGAACAGCAATATTGGTATTTAAAAGCTTTCCTCTGTAGTCTCAAGGATCCTGTAAACACTTAACAGGGTAGATATGATATTTCAGATCGAGAGCACCCCCTAGTGGCCAAGTCCTTCGTAAACACCTTTTGGAAGTGCTTTTAAACTGCAGAGCAAGGATAAGAAAATTTTGTTCTTGAAATGAATCTTTTTAGGTAAGTATAAAAGTGTATAACTCAGGCCTCTTTACTAAGTGAGATACAATGTCTTTCTCTTTGTTCCGTTTTCATCTTTATGAAGATTCAGGGAACAAGAACTATTACTGATCACATGTTTGCAAAGTTGTATTCTCCCTAGTAACCCGTGTATACTTTAACTCCCCCTGTTTGTAATTTGCAGACTTGGTTAGTGAACACCCAGTTTTCACTTTCATGCATTGGAGAAGGAAATGGCAACCCACCCCAGTGTTCTTTCCTGGAGAATCCCAGGGACGGGGGAGCCTGGTGGGCTGCTGTCTATGGGTTTGCACAGAGTCAGACATGACTGAAGTGACTTAGCAGTAGCAGTAGCAATTTCAACTATACTTCCTCTGCAGTTCTAAATTTGTTTTGTTTTTGACAGGTGACATGCTGATCGTTGAAGAAGACCAAAGTAGGCCCAAAACGTCGCCTACATTTACAAAATATGGTGCTCCTAGTTACGTCAGGGAAACTTTGCCTGTACTTACCAGGATGGCGGTCCCAGCAGACAACTCTTGTCTCTTTACCAGTGTGTACTATGTTGTTGAAGGAGGAGTCTTGAATCCAGCTTGTGCCCCTGAGATGAGACGCCTCATAGCACAAATTGTAGCCAGTGATCCAGACTTCTATAGTGAGGCAATACTCGGAAAAACAAATGAAGAGTACTGTGACTGGATCAAAAGGGATGATACTTGGGGCGGAGCCATTGAGATATCCATTTTGTCTAAGTTTTACCAATGTGAAATATGTGTAGTGGATACACAGACTGTACGAATTGACCGTTTTGGGGAAGATGCAGGATATACCAAAAGGGTCCTTCTCATTTATGATGGCATCCACTATGATCCGCTTCAGCGTGTCTTCCCTGACCCAGACACCCCTCCTCTGACTATTTTCTCCTCTTATGATGATATTGTTCTTGTGCAAGCACTGGAATTAGCAGATGAAGCTAGAAAGAAGAGACAGTTTACTGATGTAAACCGCTTCACCCTGAGATGCATGGTATGTCAGAAGGGATTAACTGGACAAGCAGAAGCAAGGGACCATGCCAAGGAGACAGGCCATACCAACTTCGGAGAAGTGTGATCCATGCATGATGAGGATTGAAGCCTACTACCTCACAGATCCAGAAGGCTCTGGGTTTTCCAATAAGCTATTTGTTACCCTTAAGAACAAAAGAACACAATGCTTGAACCATCGTTTTAACCTTAAACCACTAAGACACTGAATTCCTTGTTAAGATTAAAATTAGTGTGCAAGTTTACAGATGTGTGTCTACAGCAGTGATAGAGCCTTCCTCCTGCTTGGGTGACAGCATAGGTAGTCCTTGCTACCTACTCACACTGACCTGAAGATTGAGTTTTAGTATTATAAACTAGCACCCAGCAGCATTAACTTGTAGAAGAAAACAACTTCCTATTTGGGGTAATGCGGAAGGCTTCAGGTGAGGCCACTGGACATAAACCACAGTGTCTCTGGTAATTGGGTCTTTTTAAAAACTCTGAGTGGGTTAATAGTTTCTATGTTATGAATTGATTCCTCAAATGAAGATACTCAGAATTGTTAAAACTGATTTCATATTGCAATTTGGTAGACTTTATAAATGTGTACTTCACCAGTTGTTATAAGTAGATAACATGCAATTTTTACAGAGATGAGTCTACTCCTTGAGAATATTAACTAAAATCAAGAACTTATAGTGCCCAGTTAAGAATTTCTAGTATATAAAAGAGAATGTACGAGGGAAGAGGTGCCTGAGCAGCTTACTGAAGCTTTAAAAGACCATGGGCCTCATGATTTAATGCAACTCATTTATTCATCTGTCACATTGGATAAAACGTTAAAATTAAGCAGGATTTTTTTTTTTTAATTGAACTTCCTTGAAACTTGAGTGCTCAATTTTTGCCTTTTTAACTAAAGATTTGTTTGGAGGGATTTAATTTTCCTCAGCTTTTTTTTAAGAGCACTTCCTCCAAGTCCTAAAATAACTTTTCATCTAAAATAATAACAGCATGCTTTCATTTGGTTTTTGAGAGATCTTTTGCTTACCTAAACAGTATTTGTTTTCATGCTAGCCATGTCAAACCACTCTTTTAAATGATTTCATGTTTCTGAAAATTAATACTTTGTTTATCCACCATCTTTTACTTTGACTTTTGCAGAGTTTTAAAGTAACTGGGATAATAACACTGAATGAATTTGTTTCCCTTACAAAATATGCCAGTTTTTAAATCTTTGCCTTATTTAGCCTTCTCAGAATTCTGCTTCTTACTAGTATTAGATGTGTAGCCATTTGCTTGGTGGGCTAATCCACGAGGCATACCCTCTAAAACTTAGCTTCACTATGAGATCTTCCAGATAAGTGTTCTACCTCTTAATTCTTCTGAAGATCAGGGATGCTAAATTATAATTTGTTATGCATTATCTTACATAATGTAAAGAGGCTTAATGTTGTGAAGTTTTGTTATCTTGGTCTCGTTTTTTATTATCTTACTTAGAAAACCAATGGTATGGGAATTCCCTGGCAGTCCAGTGGTAAGAACCCTACCCTTTCATTGCCAAGGGCACAGTTCAATCCCTTGTTGGGGAACTAAGCCCCACAAGCTTCATGGAGTGACCAAAAAAAAAAAAAAACCCAATGGTATACCTTAAAGCACTTATATCTCTTTTAGCATGTCTTCTTGGCAAATGTTTCAGAATTGAGGTTTCCTTTTAGCACTTTCACTTGATAGAAGTGATTATATAAAATTAAGGAGTATGTAAACAATTTAGGAGAAAAGTATCTTTAAGGAGCAGTTCACAAAATATGCATTAAATTGTTAGATGACATTTCTTCAGTACCTTTTGTGTGAATAGGACTTTTAGGATAATAACGATAAGTTATTATCGTCAGTTTAACTCAGAAGTGTTTAATTTTCTATTTTACTGAGCCTTAAAATAGTGCTTATGAGCTTGTGAAATTTGATGTTTGGCAGTCATAATGTGTACAAATGAATATGATGAAAATCTCTTTGTACCTGTATGTCATCTGGTCTAAAAGGATTTTGTATCTCTTAATTCCCCCAGACAAATTTAAAGCTGTAAGTTAAGAGTATACCACTGGGTAACACCAATCCAGTTGAGCTTTATGCATTATTATTCATAAACCTTGCCTTCGTTTCCTAAGTATTTCAAGGGCCAAACTTGATACTTGCTTACTGGAATTTTAGAGAAGTTTATTCATCCAACAAATATTTATTGAGTAATTTATTATATACCAGGTGTATATTGATGTTTCCAAACATAAATTTTGTTGCTTTAAAATTGAGTATACTTTTATCTACATTTGATTTTAATTTTAACAAGTGGAGGGATATAGAACTGGATATTTTATAAAATTAAGCTTATTTTAAATGTTTTTGTTTGCATATTTAAGCTTATGCTTTTATAACAAGTGTCAACTATTTATTTAGGGGATTTTATTCTATTTTATTATACCTGTTAACTAGTTTGTGCATTCCTCAGTTGGACACTGATAGGTCACTCTCAGTAACGACTTATTTAATCAGCTGCTGAAATTCAGCAATAGGACTTTTTTAAGTAATGTTCTGATCATGGGATATTAAAGATGAAGCACTGTTTGCCGACCATTTTAATTTAATTGTGGAGGATTAAAAACCTAAACTTGTACTTACTCAGAATTCAAGCTTGTAAGCCTCACAGAAGCTATAAGATTTTTTAAATTGCACTTGTACTCTTGAATGGAGAAGGGAATGGCAACCCACTTCAGTATTCTTGCCTAGAGAATCCCATGGAAAGGGGAGCCTGGCAGGCTCCCATGGGGTCGCAGAGTCAGACATGACTGAGCGCCTAACACTATACACTTGAAGTTAGTTAATGTACATAAATTCTAGTCTTGAGAAATTTAAAACATTGCACCAAGATGAAAAGAAACTTTTTCTTACATTTGCACTTGAGCAGAGCGAAACCTTTCTTCCTATTCATTCAGGTTTTGACTGCCTTGCAAGAATTTTTTTATTAAAATGAGGTTAGTTGATATTAGTAGCACAATGAACCAAGGTTGTGCTTTCCTGTCCCCTACTCCTCCTTTCCTGACTCTTCTTTCCCTTACTCTTCTTTGGATTTAAAGATTAGATGTAGGGCTATGAAGGCACTTCTGGATAGAGTGATTTCAGAAATTAAAACTAATGTCTCGGGAATTTTGTGATGTGATAGCCATGTGAAGATATTAGTGTGGTACAGCTACTATTAGTAGTTGATGGTTGCTTTCTTGTTTCTCATGAATGGATCATAGGCACAGTCAAGTGATACCCTTGCAAGTTTGGGGGCTGGTCAGCTTGACCCTGTTGGCAAAAACAAATATTGACATACCACTTGATTATTCCATGAAGTTCAAGTCCCAGTGAAATCTTAATCAGGAATGAATTAACATATTTATACATTCCTATAAATGCCCGTGCCTAATTTGCATGTTAAGCTTATTCTTTCTATATTGTATAGGCATTAAAACAGGAAAGTTGTAAGTTCCCCTCTAGCTGAACATACTTTTCTATGTCTTTTGTGAAAAAAATTGAATGGGGAATATACAAGATTAGCAGCACAGTGATTTTTTTTTTTTCTTTTATGTGTGAGGTGGCCTTTCATATATTAGGATTTTCATGTTGTTTCATGTATTGAGAACACAAATCTGTTATTATTTGCAGAACTTTAAAAATATGAAATAAAAGTTTACATGTTAGCCCTCTCTGACGATCTTGTCAGACATTAAAATACAGTTCTTGAGCTGCCAACAATCAGCTCCTCTTAATTAAAAGTTACCATCAGTGAATAGTGTATCCAGTGGTACAACATTCTGGTAATTCTCTTAACAGTAAAACTCCGTTTCAGTAACTATTAGGAGCATGCTCTGTGCCGTAGCATTCAAAATGTTACTTATTTCTATAATGTGATTGTTCTTTATTCATTGTACAATGCAGTATTCAGATTTGTCCTTGTAGCTCAAAGATGACTACTGCAACTTTGAAAATGTTAGATTCTTAAAACCCTTCATTTGTTTCTAAGCAAACTTATGATTTTGAGCTGATTTTTGAGTCAGAGGCCTTAAAAGTCATATATAAGCAACATCATTAAGTCTAAAGTGAAACACTTGATTTGAATAAGCTAGTTTATTAACTAAGGATGTTTTCTTACTAGGAGTTATGATATTTAGCATTTAGCACATTTCACCCAACTTAAAAAGATTATAAAACTTCCCTGATTGTAGAAAAAAGTTTCTTTAATTTTCCATCTCCAAAATTTAGCTTGTGTTTTGTTTACAGTGCTTTGAATATTTGAAAAAATCACATTGATACTGAATTGTGGAATGCTGATTTAAGTTTTGGTTGGTAGAATTTAGAGGAGATTAATAACCCTCCCATGCTGCTTTAGAAGAAAGGGGCAGGAAGATAAAGTGCCACATAAACAGAAGAGCTTCTCAAATGAATGCATTCCTACTCTTAACTTATGCTTTTCAGAAAATGTTTCAGGCAATGCCTTGTGTCATCTTAACCCATTCACATTTCTTGGCATAGGCTATAGCAAGGCCATAACAGAAAGAAAGGCTTGTCAGTAAAGCATTGAAACATGACTATAAGCATTTTGCTATGATGCCTTTTTATACTTGTTTTTTTAAAATGCACACCTACATCTAAAGAGTTTGGGGATAGTGAAATTATGATTCAGTTACATTGTGGGCAAACAAGTTAACCTAGGAGAGGTTTACAGTTTCTTCTCGGATTCCATGAGCCTGCCTGGAGTAGGAGATGTAGTTAGGTGTTGCCCATAAGTTACTTAAAGGACCAGGGCTCTTGATTCTTGTCTGTTTTCCAGTTCACCTTGGTGCCATTTATCACATAAAGTGTTTACAGGAAATATAATTTCCTTAGCAAAAAGTAACATTTTTCCTTTAAAAGAGTATTAAGTTTAAAGAATAAATATGATTTGTCAAAAGGAATAGAGAATGGCAGTAGTCCTATATTTCCTGTATTAATGCAACAGGTTGAAATTCCTGAAGCAATGAGGAACCTACAAAACTGTCAAATTTAGAGCTTTAAAATATGACTTGAAAAGTAATAGAGAAGGACAGATAGAACAAAGTTCTGTTTCTCTCGGCATAAAATATTTTTTCTTAATGAAGATGGACAGTGCTTCCTTGGTTTAAAAACATTTTGTCGATTTGCCAGCATTTTTTCAAGTTAATGCACTACCGCTACTACCTGAGAGTTGCCTAATCTTGTCTAATGTAACTTACGTGGGTTTACGATTGTCATTAAGATGCACTGGTTCTGTTTGCGAGGTGTTGATTCTAAACACCCAACTGCTGTGTGAAGCGACTCGCCTTGAAGAAATAAATGGAGTGAGCATGCCATCGTCTGAGTGTGTTTGGGCGGCGCTGAGCAGCCGCTACATTCGGGCTGCGTGTCTGTCACCACCGCTTTGGCTTCCCCCACAGTGTCTGCCAAATCTCATTCTGTGGGTGGAGCCTTAATGAGGCGGCTCCTGAGAGCTGTAATTTAACGTCTGTTGCTGACCGTTGTCCAAGAGGACAGGCTGAATGTTCCTTTTCATTTATAATAGACTGAGGTCTCTGTGAACTTAGATCCATGTGGAAACTGCAGCATCTCTTGGGGAGAACTTATTTAATCTTTGATAATGTCAGCAGGTAAACATTTACTTGACATAGAACTGGCCAGAGTTTCATCTGTCTAAATTGGACTATGTATCCTTTGCATTTTTATACTTCTTATTGAAAGCATAAAAACTATGGCAGTGGAACCATAATGCAATTTTACCAATTTGTGCACCAGGACAAAATATCTTTGGGGGTCAGCATAAATCCAACATTAAAATAAGACAATCCAAGCATCATATTAAAAGGTTTGTGAGAAGTCTCCTAGGATACGTGGTGGTAGCTTGTTAAACAACTGCACCCGTAAAGCAGTGCTTCTCAAAGTGTGTTCATCACATTGCCTAGGAGCTTTTTAGAAGTGCAAATTCTCAGAAGTCAGAAATAAATGAGACCAGTAGTCTGTTTCAACAAGCCCTCCAAGTGATTTTGATGAGGATGAAAATTTGAGAACCACAGCTATGACCATGGTTATATAATGTATCAATGTCAACTCCCAGAGACCTCTGATGACTGTCAGTCCTACATCCTTTTGTTCAGTCATCCAGCCATGTTTGACTCCCAACTCTGTGGACTGCAGCATGCCAGGCTTCCCTGTCCTGCATCCTTGGCTTCATGCAGACCATCTTCATCCACTAAAGACAGTGGATGAAGTTGCAAATAATACAGTTACAAATAAAGTTGCAAATAATACAAATCCAGAGAGCAAAGTGGTGCAATAGATGACCATTCAAAAATCTCAACAGGCCGAAAAATCCTAAGGTTGAATACTCTAAATGGGAAGTCCAGCCCTTGAGTTCTAATGCACCCCATTATGTGAGTCCGGCATGTGTAAAACCTGGCATAGTTGAGTTGATGAAAAATCAGCAATAGTACTTAACTATTGTTCTGATCCCAACAGGGTGATATGATTTCGGTTGCAGAACTAGTTGCATTTTTAATAGTTAAAAGATCTAGAAAAAAGGAAGCAATAGTATTAATGTGTCCTGCTTCAGTCATATTTCATTAGTTTTGATGAGGGTTTTTACCTTTAAAACATGAAAATCCAAGGTTTGACAACTGTCTTGTGATAACTGAAAGAACTGTAGACGATTGCCTGTTTAAGAGAAAAGGTGTCTCAGGTTGATGTGATGGCTAACATCAAATCTGGGAAAGTACTGTGTTAACAATGAAGTACACCTATTTTCTGACTCAGACCAGGAAGGGGTGAATATGACAATGTAAAATTTACCTTAAAAACCTAACGCAAAGGGACTTCGTGGTCCAGTGGCTAAGACTTTGCCTCCCAATACAGGGTGTGTGGGTTCAATCCCTGGTTGGGAAGCAAAGATCCCACATGCCCCGTGGCAAAAAATAAAAATAAAACAGATGCCATATAGTAACTAAGTCAATAAAGACTTTAAAAATGGTCCATGTCAAAAAAAGAAAAAATTGAAAAAACACCTAACACAAATAGAAATGCCTTGATATTAAGGTCAAGAATTGGGATGTAATCACCTGCATAGTGAAAAATGTCATTAGGCCCCTGACATCCTGAAAATTCTGTTCCTTGAAAAATTATGACATCTTGAAAATGCCAGTTATGAAATGAATTGCAAAATAGCTTCTTCCCTAGAAAACATTTCGTGTTTTCTTTTTCTCCCTTTACCATCCCATTAGTGTTTGGAAAGGAGTGGTTCTCACTCTTATTCAGTAATAAGATGCAGGCTACAAAGTAGGGCTTCCATTATTGGGAGTAGTATATACTTCTTATATACTTATTATATCTCTAAATATAAAATGAGAGACTCAAGAATGAAAAAGCAAGCCTCTCAAATACTTTTCACTAAAATCTGTTCTGACTTGGATTGTCTTTGTCTCCATTGTGTTTATAGATTTTGATGATATTTATCAGATGAATCAAGTGCCAAGGTATCATGAATATCTTTTCCTAAGCTCACTAAAACTTGCATGATTTCCATATGTGTGAGTTTAAAAAAATGAAGAATCCGTGAGGAACCAGCTTTGAGAATAGTCTTTTATCTTTGCTTTAGTAACTGCCTCCCTTATAACTGCTTCTCTGGCATTCTATCCTCCTAAAATTTCTTCTGTACACCAAGAAGAGTTTTCTGATCTTACTGTCATGGCATTTCTCTGTATTTAATTGAAGGGCTTCATTACTTAATCTTGTTAATCATTACAGTAGGTATCATAGTGACTTGGCCAGGTCTAAAACCCTAACAAACCTCTGGAATAATTACAGTAGGCTGAAAGCTGTTAATTTGAAGTTGAAGCTTACTCAGGAGTCAAGTTTAAAATCAATGCTGAGATTAAATACAAGACATTAGGAAAAATTATTCCTGATAACCTCTTAACTGGCTCGTAAAGTAGAGTATATAGACATAACCATGACTTAGTAAGTTCAACACAGCTAGTCCTCATCCCATTGTTGGGAGAATTCATGCTCACTTCCAGGATACAACTTTGAGGTCCCAACGTGCAGTGAGTGTGGCTCACTTGGTCCCAACCATTAGTGGACCCCAAACTCCAGTCTCTGATCCCTTGCTTCTGTGGAACAGAAGCATCCCTCAGCATCTCAACCACCCATTCTCAAATAGAGGAATGTCTCCAGAAGAAAAGTGGTCCCAGGTGTTGATTGCATCACACCTGACTTCTATCCTCATCCTGATACAGGCCTGGCAGTTCTTCAAATTCTTCACCATATCTCTGGATCGCACTGCTTCAGCAAGAGGGCTTTGTGTGAATTCCCTAGTCCAACATCACTGGAAATGGAGGCCCTCAGCAACATCTTTTTATAATAATCAAAAAACAAATACCATAAAATGTGTTTAAAAAAAAAAAGACATAATGTTGGAAATGAAAATACCATATATGAGGCAAATGATTTGATAACAATTTTAACATCAACAATGGAGGAGAGGGGATAGGCTTCTCTGTCCATGGGATTCTCCAGGCAAGCATACTGGAGTGGGTTGCGATTCCCTTCTCCAAGGGGTCTTCCTGACTCAGGAATCGAACCCAGATCTCCTGCATTGCAGGCAGATTCTTTACTGCCTGAGCCACCAGGGAAACCCCTAAACATTCCTTTAACATTCGGCCAAATTTTTTTTTTACTCTTAAACAATGAAGACTGAGAAAATGATCTTAAATTTGGCAAGAAACAGCTAAAGTAAATTGTTCAGCAATTTTCTCTAGTTCTACATCTTGTATGATATGATATTGACTACCTAATGGCAACCCACTCCAGTATTCTTGCCTGGAAAGCTCCATGGACAGAGGAGTCTGGAGGGCTACAGTCCACGGGGTCGCAGAGTCAGACACGACTGAGTGACTGACTCATATTAGGACTACAAAGATAGTCATTCATTCAATAAACATTTTTTAATGTTAATGTTGTTCTAGGAGATGCATTAGATGCTGGTAATACATGAGGTGGGGGTAGGGGAAACATAATGCTATAAAGGAATGGTGCTATGAAGAGAATAAGGGAGTATTTTTCAATATTCACAAATCAATCAATGTGATACACCATATCAACAAACTGAAGAATATAAACCATATGATCATCTCAGTAGATGCAGAAAAGGCTTTTGACAAAATCAGCACCCATTTATGATTTTAAAAAACCCTCCAGAAAGTGGACATAGAGGGAATATACCTCAATACAATAAAGTCTGTATATGCAAACCTACAGCTAGCATCATACTCAATGGCGAAAAGCTGAAAGCATTCCCTTTAGGATCAAGAACAAGACAAGGGTGTCCACTCTCACCGCTTTTATTCAACATAGTTTTGAAAGTCCTAACTACAGCAATAAGAGAAGAAAAAGAAGCAAAGGGAATCCAAATTGGAAAAGAAATTAAACTATCAGCTGTTTGCAGATGACATGATACTATACATAAATGATTCTAAAGATGCTATCAGAAAACTACTAGAACTCATCAATGAATTTGGTAAAGTTGCAGGTTACAAAATTAATCCACAGAAGTCTGTTGCATTTCTACATGCTAACAATGAAATATCAGAAAGAGAAATTCAATAAGCAATTCCATTAACCATTGCATCAAAAAGAATAAAATACCTAGGAATAAACCTATCTAAGGAGACAATAGACCTGTACTCTGAAAACTATAAGATGCTTTTGATAGAAATCAAAGAAGACAAAACAGCATTAAATGATAATTATGGGGTTTTAAAAGACATAAACTCTCAAGGACAAAGAGATGGTGAAATAAATATTAGCAACAAAATTATGGAAGCTAGCCAGAGGTTGAATAAGTGATAACTGACCTGTTGCTGTTCAGTCATGAAGTTGTGTCCAACTGTCTATGACCCCATGGAATGCAGCACACCAGGCCTCCCTGTCCCTCACTCTCTTGAAGTTTGCCCAAGTTCACGTCCATTGAGTTGGTGATGCCATCCAACCATCTCATCCTCCGCTGCCCCCTTCTCCTTTTGCCTTCAGTCTTCCCCAGCATCAGGGTCTTATCCAGTGAGTCAGCTGTTTGCATCAAGTGGCCAAAGTATTGGAGCTTCAGCTTCAGCATCAGTCCTTCCAATGAGTGGTCAGGGTTGGTTTCCTTTAGGATGAACTGGCTTGATCTCCTTGCTGACCAAGGGCCTCTCAAGAACCTTCTCCAGCACCACAGTTCAAAAGCATCAATTTCTTCAGCACTCAGCCTTCTTTATGGTCCAACTTTACATCTGTATATGACTACTGGAAAGACCATAGCTTTGACTAGATGGACCGTTGTTGGCAAAGTGATGTCCTTGCTTTTTCATATGCTATCGAGGTTTGTCATAGCTTTCCATCCAAGAAGCAAATGTCTTCTGATTTCATGGCTGCAGTCACCATCTACAGTGATTTTGGTGTCCAAGAAGAGAAAATCTGTCACCACTTCCACTTTTTCCCCTTCTATTTGTCATGAAGTGATGGGACTGGATGACATGATCTTAGTTTTTGAAGGTTAAGTTTTAAACCAGCTTCTCCACTCTCCTCTTTCACTCTCTTCAAGAGGCTCTTTGGTTCCTCTTTGCTTTCTGCCATTGGAGTGGTATCATCTGCACACCTGAGCTTGTCGATGCTTCTCCCAGAAATCTCGATTCCAGCATGTGACTCATCCAGCCTGGCATTTCTCATGATGTACTCTGCACATAAGTTAAATAAACAGGATGACAACATACAGCCTTGTTGTACTCTTTTCCCAACTTTGAACCAGTCAGTTGTTCCATGTCCGGTTTTAACTGTAGCTTCTTGACTGATCCGTATACAGGTTTCTCGGGAGACAGGTAAGATGGTCTGGCATTCCCATCTCTTTAAAAATTCTCCACAGTTCATTGTGATCCACATAGTCAAAGGCTTTTGCAGAGCCAATGAAGCAGAAATAGATGTTTTTCTGGAATTCCTTTGCATTCTCTATGATCCAACGAATGTTGACAATTTGATCTCTGGTTCCTCTGCCTTTTCTAAACCTAGCTTGTACATCTGGAAGTTCTCTGCTTAAGTACTGTTAAAGCCTAGCTTGAAGGATTTTGAGCACACCCTTACTAGCATGGGAAATGAGTGCAATTGTCCAGTAGTTTGAACATTCTTTGAACAAAACTGACGTAGCAGATTTTTAAAAATTGCATATTAAGACAGCAACCTCATTTTTCCCATAGAGCTCCCTCCCCCTGGCCAGTTCAAAAACTGGTGATGCTAATACTGCTAGACATAGGAGTAGGGGCAGAAATCGTGAAAATGGAGAATCTGGTTAAAAAATAGAACTTTCAGGTCTCTTTCACTCTGAGCAACTGAGAGCTTGCTATATCCCCTCTGATGCTGGGGTAACACAAAGTTGCTCAGTCGTATCTGACTCTTTGCGACCCCATGGACTGTAGCCCGCCAGGCTCCTCTATCCATGGGATTTTCCAGGCAAGAATAATGGAGTGGGTTGCCATGCTCTCCTCCAGGGGATCCTCCCAACCCAGGGAAGTCTGTACTGCAGGCAGACTCTTTACATTCTGAGCCACCAGGGAAGCCCTTAGGGTCTCTGTCTAAAATGAAGAGGATGATGCAATGTTATTATACCTAAATGTTGGGACCAACAACCTTCTGCCACTAGGCTCCAGGAATGCTAGCTGCTAGAATTATGCCCTTCAGCCATGATTTTGGAAAACTCTCCTCTAAGGAACCACACCAACAAAAAAGACTAGTGGTATTGACATCAAAGATTTTCCGATTAGATGGCCCTCTATATGTGTGACCGATTAGATGGTCACTCTATAGTAAACTTCACAGTAAACCAGCCCTCTCTGCACCACAAAATTTATTCAGTTTTTGTGAGATTCTTAAATTTTATAAGAATCTATTTCTTGGATAGTCAAGAATCATCAGATATCTGAAGATATTCTTTAAAAAGAAACACAAAAGTGAAAACAAATGGGAAAAAAGTAACTTGGAGAAGGCAGAGTCTGTGGAGGCAGAAAAATACTAACATTATATTTACATATCAATTCTTAAAGTAGTAAGAGAAGATTTTGCATCAATGAAGATAGAGAAAAATATGATAAAAATTCAAAAACAAACAGTAGTTCTTAGAAAATAAAAATACAATAGTGGAAAGAAAGTGCAACAAAAAGTCATAGGTAAATTTTAAGAAAGCTCCCAGTAGCAAAGAGAGATAGAGGTCTAGGAGATTCGACATCCAAACAGTAGAAGTTTCTAAAAGAAAGAACAGAGAAAATGGACGGAAGGAATTCATCAGAAAAATAATTCAACAAAATATCCCAGGACTGCAGGTCATGAGATTTTAGATTGGAAGGATTGACTGAGTACCCAACACACAATGTAGATCCATTCCAAACCACATCATCATGAAAACTTAAGAATTCTGGAAACAAAGAGAAAGCCCTAAATTTAGAAACATAAATCCTTCGGGCTTTTCAGCAGCAACACCGAAAGCTAGCAGACATTAATCTAAAATTTATACCCAAACAAATTAGCAACCAAATGTATAGATAGAATAGAGGTATCTTCAGAAATGTAAGATCCTATGCACTCTTTCTCAGGAAGATACTGGAGAATGCATTTTGCCAAAATTAGAGAGCTAACTCAAGAAAGAGGAATATATGAGATCTAGGTAATACAACAAAAGAAAGAGGTGAAAGGATTTTTCCCAGTAGGATGATAAAGGCAGATATTAAAGTGACAGGCATGCAACAGGCTATCCAAATACAAGTAGATCAGAATGCCCTGGGAAACATTTCTTAAGGATGAAATGCATAATACTACTGTATCTGAATGTTTTGAGAGGAGATATACATAATGGGTGGGGTGGACAGACAAAAAAGATGTATAAAAAAAGAAGAGTAAACATAGTATATTTCAAGGCGTTAACTCTCCATAGCATGCATTTATGTAAAAGCAAGGAAGAAAATTAGGCAGTTTGGCTTCAGAGATGCTATACTATAGTATTGTATATTTGGATGCTGACAGGAATTATATTAGTAGGAAGGTCAAAATGATGATGTATAAGATAGAATCACAGGGATGTAGTTCATAAGATGAGATCCAGAGTACATGATGGGATTCTATAGGAATAATACTTCTTTGGTTGTAACAAAAAGAATAAAACAGTTGTAAAGGAAGGTAGGTTCACAAATTTGGTGATAGAAATATGGAGTTCCTGTCCATTGGCTGCTGTTTTCTTACCAAATTTTTCTAACTTCATGGCAAAGTTAAACATAACATAAACATAAACATAACATAACATAAACATAGCATAAACATAAACATAACATAAACATAAACAAAAGAAGAATAGAAAGTGTGAGGAAAGAGAAGAAAGACTGGCCTTGGAAAAAATGGGAAATCAAGCTTCCTAGCAAAATGTGGTAATTGCCTGGGAGTATAGAGTATCCATTTGAGGTTATTATTCTTGAGTTTATAGCAGTACCAATCTTCTAGTAGTGCCAATCCTCTTTTCTTTCCATTTTTTAAACTGAAGTATAATTTACAATATTATATTAGTTTCAAGTGTGCAGCATAGAATTCAGTATTTCTATAGGCTTACTCCATTAAAAGTTATTACAAAATAATGGCTATGATTCCCTGTGCTATACAATATATCCTTGTTGCTTATTTATTTTATGCATCTCTTAATCCCATACCTCTATCTTGCCCCACCTTCCCTCTCCCCACTAGTAGCCACAAGTTTGTTTTTTTATATCTGTGAGTGTATTTTTGTTTTGCTACATACATTCATTGGTTTTATTTCTTAATACTACATATAAATGATATCACACAGTATTTGTTTTTCTCCGTCTGACTTACTTTACTAAGTATGATATTCTCTGATCCATCCACCTTGCTGCAAAAGTAGGCTCTGTGGTAAAGAATCTGCCTGCCAATGGAGGAAACATGGGTTTGACCCAAAGGTCAGGGAGATCCCCTGGAGAAGGAAATGACAACCTGCTCCAGGATTCTTGCCTGGGAAATCCCATGGACAGAGGAGCCTGGGAGGCTACAGTCCATGGGGTCACAAAAGAGTCAGACACGACTTAGTGACTAAACAACAACCAATTATACATATGAAGGTATGAAATTAAAAGTTGCTCTGTCGTGTCTGACTCTTTGTGACCCCATGGACTATACAGTCCATGGAATTCTCCAGGCTAGAATCCTGGAGTGGGTAGCCTTTCCCTTCTCTAGGGCATCTTCCCAACCCATGGATCAAACCCAAGTCTCCCACATTTCAGGCGAATTCTTTACCAGCTGAGCCACAAGGGAAGCCCAAAAATATATTCAGTTCAGTTTAGTTCAGTCGCTCAGTCATGTCCGACTCTTTGCAACACCAATGAACCGCAGCAGGCCAGGCCTCCCTGTCCATCACCAACTCCCGGAGACTACTCAAACTCATGTCCATCGAGTCGGTGATGCCGTCCAGCCATCTCGTCCTGTGTCGTCCCCTTCTCCTCCTGCCCCCAACCCCTCCTAGCATCAGGGTCTTTTCCAATGAGTCAACTCTTCGCGTGAGGTGGCCAAAGTATTGGAGTTTCAGCTTCAACATCAGTCCTTCCAATGAACACCCAGAACTGATCTCCTTTAGGATGGACTGGTTGGATCTCCTTACAGTCCAAGGGACTCTCAAGAGTCTTCTCCAACACCACAGTTCAAAAGCATCAATTCTTTGGCTCTCAGCTTTCTTCACAGTCCAGCTCTCACATCTATACATGATCACTGGAAGAACCACAGCCTTGACTAGAAGGACCTTTGCTGGCAAAGTAATGTCTCTGCTTTTTAATATGCTGTCCAGGTTGGTCATAACTTTCCTTCCAAGGAGTAAGCGTCTCTTAATTTCATGGCTCCAATCACCATCTGCAGTGATTTTGGAGCCCAGAAAATAGTCAGCCACTGTTTCCACTGTTTCCCCATCTATTTGCCATGAAGTGATGAGACTGGATGCCATGATCTTAGTTTTCTGAATGTTGGGCTTTAAGCCAACTTTTTCACTCTCCTCTTTCACTTTCATCAAGAGGCTTTTTAGTTCTTCTTCACTTATAGCTCAGCCATAAAAGAGAATGAAATTATATATATATATAATTTCATAGAAATTATATACATATATAATTTCATATATATAATTATATATGAATATACAATTATATATTTATATATATAAATGTATATATAATATACATAAATATATATAAGCCTATATATATATATATATAGGCTGCACTGATAGCTCAACTGGTAAACAATGTGCCTGCAATGCAGAAGATCTGGGTTCGATCCCTGGGTTGGGAAGATCCCCTGGAGAAGGTAAAGGCTACCCACTCCAGTATTCTGGCCTGGAGAATTCCATGGGCTGTATGGCCCATGGGGGTCACAAAGAGTCGGACAAAACTGAGTGACTCTCGCTTTTCCCTTTCATATATATATGTATATGTATATGTATATGTGTGTGTATATATATATATATATATAT